GGCTCACTGTTGAATAGTCCCGAACTGGGACGACACAGCTATCTAGCACTCCCTAGTTTTCCAGTGGTTCTCTTTATGACATCAGTTCACGATCAAACTTGTAACTAATCTAATCCCTACAAAACCAACAGTTGATAATCATGATTTAAAACGTCAAAAATTTTGGTAACCTCAAGGCAAACGCTAATCTTTTCTGTTGCATATATTGCGTTTTGTCATACATGTATATTGTAAGTAAATGTTTTTCACCTTTATATATATACACTATGCCAACATGACTCAGTACTTGTTTACACATATATATGTAAATATGTAAATCAAGGAAGATTACACTGTCTTTTTATGTCTGGTTTTATCTCCCAGAATAAACAAATTAAAATAAATTGTGACTCATACAGCTGTACATCCAGAGCTTATTCTCTTCGTTAAATCCTTTTTTCCAGCAAAGTTTTATAATAATTACAAAAAAGGCAGAAGAGATGTTTATCTCATAAGCCAATCCAATTATAACATTAAATCTTAATAAGATAATGCCTTCCAGAGAATGTCGAGGGGAGGTTGGCGCGGGTGGAATATGTACATGTTTAGTTTAAAGAATGTGGCAATATTTTTTTTGAAATCCACAATGATTTATTTACAAGTGTAGAATTGTCCATTTACTTACGACATTATGACTCATTGAAAAACATAAATGACACATGAGATTTTATTTGTTCTGTTTCTATTTGCATTTTTATTTGTATTTACTTTAGTTGATGTTAAGTGTTATTCTTGAAAAATGTCCAGTAGGTCTGTATCCTTCTTGAATAGTATAGATATATATATATGCTTCCCTTATAAACTATTTTAAACATTTTAAAGGCTTCACTTGAAAAGGATTTATCAAGATTATCGAAGAACAAGAAATTTAAATACTGTAACCATTCACAGCTAAATAATTTTTATTGACATGCAACAAATGTGTTTGTGTTTAACCGTGATCATCTTTTAATATGACAAACTTTGGTAGGATAAGAAATATCTCAAGTCTGGTTACATTTTATTGCTATTATTAAAAACAGAAGTTTTTAGTGTCACACTAAAACTAGTGAACACTTTTTAGATCCAGGGGGTGCTTACTGTGAAGACTCCCAAACTAGGACGAAACAGCTGTCCAGTACTCCCAGGTTATCCAATGGTTCTTTTAACCGATGTCAGCTCATGATGAAATCCTGTTACCAATCAATGAAATCCCTCATTAGAGACTGGTTAACCTGTGGTTCTAGTGGGACGTCGTGACAATTAAGGTGCAGCAGGTCGGGTGTGAGGACAAATGCTCTCCGAAGACATTGCCAAGTGTTCGCGCTATGTAGCGAATTGGCAGAAGTTGGAATTCATGGGCTGGTCATTGGATCGGGTCCCAGTGGCTTAATGGTCTACGACCTAGCTTGCCTTGTAACCAGAAGGTTTTGGGATCGAACCCTGTGGTGGGTGTGTACTGATGGAGAGTCCCAAACTAGAATGAAACAGCTGTCCAGTACTCGCAGGTGGTTTTCCAATGGTTCTCTAACGGATATCAGCTCATGATGAAACCCTCCAGCTAATAATATAAATCACTGACTTTTATTTTATGCATATGCATAAGCATAGTTATCCAACGAATGTTCTATAGTCTATATGTCTGAAAGAAGTTATGAAGCCTAGTCTGATTAGCATTCCTTTCACAATAATGAATAATTTTAAATATTTTCAAAAATGATAATAAATATTAAGGAAGCTATGTTATTTTATGAGACAGTCATACGTTACATTTATGATTCTATTACTACCTCTGTCATATACTGTTGTCTAATTTCTTCTTTTATATGAAATGAAATTCATTTATTTGTTTTATGATCCCCCTGGAATTTGATTTTCATCATAAAATGATTCCATTCAAATTAAATTTATGAATTTGCTAACAATCAATCAATAAATATTCTTCAAATAAGTTTATTTGCAGTTTTAAGCCCTAAGGGTGGTATAATCAGCTCTGTAATAGATAAGAAGTTTGTGTATGTGTACACCGCCATCGATTCTATCATGTGTTAAACCAAAGAAATTATTTGAAATTCACCTCCGATGATATATGTCTGATTTTCCACAAACTGGAAGATATGCAAGTGAAAAGCAACAAGTTGGCAGAAGAAGCATCAAAGACAGGAAGGAGTTCGGGTGAACATAGAGAAAAAAGAGGTGATGAAGATTTCTGGCCAACAGCAACAACAACAGACAAAAATCAGCCAACATAAATGGGAGTAATCTCAAAGAAGCAACCTCCTTCATCTACTTACTTCGGAAGCATCGTTTCAACTACAGTCGGATGAAAGTGATGAGGATATCAAAGCGAGGATAGGGAAAGCAAGGCATGTTTTCAGTACTGTCAAATCTGTGTGGAGGTCAACAGCACTCAGCATGAAAAACAAGATCCGGTTTTTTAACTCCAATGTGAAGTCAGTGCTACTTTACGGATCAGAGACTTGGCGCGTCATAAAGAGCACCACAAACAAACTACAGACCTTCATTATCGGCTGTCTTCGCTCAATACTCAAGATCAGATGGGCAGCCAGAAAGATCAGTAACAGGGAGGGATCTCTGGGAGCCAACCAACCCAGAGGGAACCGATTGTGTGACGAATATGCAGCAAGAAATTCAGGTGGATTGGCCATGCTCTGAGGAAACCATCAAGTGGCATCACACGCCAGTCCATCGCTCGAGTAGAACCCGAACGGGAGTGGTGATTTGGCCGTCATTGTGAGGGTGACATGGAGGAGATGATGTGAAGAGGAGATGAAAGCATGTAGGCAGACGTGAAGCTACGTGAAAACGTTGGAAGAGAACCAAAAGCGATGGAAGGAAGCAAACTAGGAACTTGAGCACTGAATATGAGTGCTGCAGAAATCAGATGTAATCACCATGAAGAAACATCATTAGTATTCCATAAATATTTATTTGCTTTTTTTGCAAAACAGTCGAGAACAAACAAGCGATTAGTAATTCCACATTAGATAAGTTTATGTGATTTGACAAACAGTGATACAGTATTAATAAATGGATGACTTTCTGAGCACAAATTAGTGCTCATAATCATTATCAGTGCATTCAAATGACTTTAGAACTTGCTTTATATAATCCTACTCTCTACTGCTCTGTATTGCAATTTTCCATATACCTAGCATAGGTTAGGACTATAGCTAGTCAACATTAACGTACACTGCATTTTCGTGATTCATCTGTTTCACTATAGTTTACAGTCCTTCATATACTTATTGAAGAACAACCTTCCAAAATATGTAATCTGAAGAATGCTTTCTTGTTAATGTCTACAAAACTCTAATTATTTGTAATACCTGCACTAATTCAATGCCTGCGAGTTCTGCTTACTTAAATTAATTGGATCATAGTATCTACAACATTCTTTATAATTTCATATCTTTTCTGTGTGTTTTGACTAAAAATTTGATTAATTAACTACTTCATATTAGATTTAGTGAAATGCATATATATATATATATATATAATTATTCCCTTGTGTCCCGAGCTAAACAAAGGGTTTCAGTAACAGACCTCCATTTCACTCTATTTTCTGCAGTCGTTTTTGATTGGTTCCTCAACTTCCCGGAAGCTTTTATTTTCTCCTCACTCAACTCCTTCTGTGTCATTTTCTGAGGACCAACTCATCGTTTTTCATATCACCTTCCAATAGAGAGCTAGACACATGATATCACTCAACGACTTCTTCAGCTCATGTCCAAACCACCTCCATTCCCTTCGTCACATTTGTTGCGTGATAGGTTCTTGGCTAGTTCGCTACCTGCCAAGGTTACTTGTTACTTACTCTTTCTGACAGATCAACTGAATTTCAGTTTCCGAAGAAGGTAGCTGCTGGTAAAAGTCTTCAGGCTTTTGTGAAAGCTTCCCAAGACGCGCCAAACCTCTGAACCATAGAGAAGCACTGGCAACATTACTGTTGAACACTCGGATCACGTTCCTACCAATGAGTGTAGTATATACATATATGTATATATGGACGGATACCTATGAATGAAATATCACTGACTGCTATATTTTATGTAATCTTTTGTTTTGTCCAAAGGCTGCATGTTATATATCTTTTGTTTAAGAATTGCTTGTCTACCTTGTACTCAAATCACTAGCTTCATTAGATATTTCATTCTATTTGATGCCGGTAATTCAACTACCGTTCCTCTCGATCTAAATATTGAGATGAATTTTCACTTATCAATACTTGTTCATACCAGTCATAGTCATTTTCCGATATATGTGTGCATAATGTCTAGTGAGTAGTTTAACCAAATTTATTTACTAATAGTGAACCCACTAATTATGAAAAAAGAATAACAGTTGGAGTTCGAATAAACTATTACTATGGTAACTGTATAGAGTTGGTTTAAATAAATATGTTTATCTCCATTTCTGGACAGTCTGAAAAGACTGTGATGTTTGGATTTCATGTCACCAACATTATATAATCTCCTCGTGTCGATTCTTAAGTGGCGATTATGTAGTTAGTTGTCCATTTTTACTCACCAGTTGGTGAAATAAACATACAAACGAGATGAAATCTGTCTTTCTTGCGTTTAATTTAGCTATTTAGATAAGTGCAGTGCGTCGGTGGCATATCGGTTAGGACGCTTGCCGACCATGCACATGGTCCGGGGTTCGATCCCCGGCCACCGACGCACTCCTTTACCTCACTGAGCCAAAAGTAAAGCTGGTGAAGAGGAAAGGTTGGACATGAGGCTAGCAACCCCACCCTGTAAAAATAAACTCCAAGCCTCTAGCCTGAAGCCCTATGTTCCACTGGGAAAGTGAGGGAAAAAAATTTAGATAAGCGCAGAATAATTCCTTTCAGGTGATAATGAATTCATTTATTTTACCTCAAACAATTTTACTTTTAAGGTGTAGTAAACTTGAACTTCATTTTTTTATATTATTTTTCTGACGTCACTAAACTTTAGCTATTGTTCAACCGGGTTCTGTACAAAATCCATCAAACAACTTGAAATTCAATGATGATTTATTTGCTGCAATAGACGGTGATGACTCTGAAGTAAATAATCAGTATTCACCAACATTGCTAAATAATGGAAGAAACAGTCCACGGTCATCATATCATACAAAAAATTCTGGACGAACAGATGCAATTATTCATTCACTGAATGGTGACAGTTCACAAGTTAAACCCAGCAATACTGATACATCAAGACCTCCATCATATAAACGTAGCCATTCTAATTCAACCATCAGTGAAAAAAGTGGAAATCGAAAGACTCTCCCTAAGCCTCGTAGGCAAACGCATGAAGTTCAAAACTTTGTGAATGAAGTTGCTGGAACTGGACCTAATCGAGTGCAATGGGCTGCAATGCCTCAAGTAGTCAATGCAGAACTTGCTAAAGACATGCCTGAGTATCAAAGGAAGTTGCAAGAAGTAAGTTATCGATTTTCATGAATCAATAAATCTACCGGTATTCAGTAATCAGCTTATACGTACTTCACTTTATATTGTGCTTTTGCTCTTCCTTGGTTTTAATGTCTGTTGAAGGAATAATCCTTATTTTTCTGTTCAATCGAAATTATTTTCATAATGTGTTGGTACCATAGAAGAAGACACGCGAATAAAAGTATAAAACAAGAGAAAGAATACATTTAGCGTGTATCTTTCTGAAACTGTATTACTATACAATGCATGTTGCAAAGGTGATTCAGTGGTAGGATACTCATTAACCACTGATGTGGACTGCATTTTGATCCCCAGCAGATGTACCGCTAAATCTCGCTAAGCCGGTAATAAGACCGCCAAAGAGAGGAGGTTTGGCATGAGGCTAGCAAAATGACGCCACAAAAATAAACACCACTACCAACGAAACTTCAATGCTCTAGCCTATAGCCATATGTTTCACTGGAAACGTAATGAATAAAATAAAAATTATAATGAGTAATAAAGTGCGCGGTGTATGAACAAACATGTATAACGTGTCAGCTGTATAGAAACCGAGAGTAAGAAGACAGAGAGACAAATATAAAACATTGACAGAAAAACATTGAAAGTTTGTGCAAAACTGACGTTAATTATAAACTGATGGCTAAGTAGTTAAATATTACCATACTTCTTGCCTTTAATAGATTCTGTTGATTTAGGTTTACAATTAGTATTTATTGTCACAACTTTTCGTCAGAGCAATGTTAATACTGCCGTGTTTTGATTGAAAACATAAAGGGAAATGATTTGTAGCGATTTTAAAACACTGTCGAATAAAAATTCAGGACTAAAGTAAGAAACGAAATGCATTCTGTTAGTTGTATATAGTACATTTCATATTGAATAATAAAAGACTTTAAAAAGTGTCACAACCGGTGTAACTCCTTATTTCTTATATCATTTCAAATGAATTTTAACTGAAAATAGTTGAAAAACAAGTAATAATGGGAAGGTGATAAGTGAGAACCATGAATTCAAACTGGTCACTGGGATCAAACGTCACTTGAAATTGTATAACTGCTACCTGAATGTCACAACATCTTCCTGAGCTATTTTAACACCTATTTAGTAGATTAGATAAACAGATATGCCTTATTATAGTTATTCTCTTGGGTTCCGAGTGGATCATAGAGCTTCAAGAACACATCTACACTTTCTTCCATTATCTGCTGCCCTCTTCAATAGGGTTCATGATTGATCATAGTCTCTCATCTCCTCCTCCCCACCTCTTAACACACCATCCCCTCCATGTCACCCTCGTACCAACAACCCAATCGTCGCTTCCCATTCAGATTTCACTCGAGCGATGGCTTGCATTAAGCGCGATGTCATTCGATGGCCTCTTCGGTGTATGCCCGATCCATTTCAATTTTCTTCTACCTACACCTGTTGAGCAATAAGCTCTTGGTTGGATTGTTCATCGCCAGAGTTTCTTGCTGCTAATTTTCCTTGTCGATCATTTAATCTTCACTGTGGAGCCAAAGAAGACAGCTGTTGATAAAATTCTGCGATCACCTATTGAAAATCCTTTTCGTGACACACAGTACAAGTTTCTGACCTATACAGAAGAAATGACTGACTTTACATTGGTGTTTAAAATCCGAATCTTGTTCTTTGTGCTGAGTGAAGAAGAATTCCAAACTGGCTTCATGTTGATGAAGGTGTATCTTGCCATTCAGATCCATGTTGGCTTTTGCACTTTCATCCGTTCTTCATGTGGTTGAAACTGTGCTTCCTAGATATATGAAGGAAGTGACATCTATGAAACTTCTCCCTTTGGTGTTGACTGGTGCTGGTTGTTGATGCTATTGGCGTCGGTTGTTCATCTTCGTCACCTCCGTCTTCTCTATGTTTAAATGGTGTCCTATCTTCGCTGCCTGTTTTCGCCTGTAGATCTTCGAGTTTGTGTGATATTAGACATATACCGCATGCGAAATCCAGATCTTCTGGAGTCTTCTTATCGGTAGTCCAGTGTATTCCTGTCTCCTCACTCCCTATGCCCAGCCTGACGCATAATCGAGCCCACCAGAACTGAGAATATCATCGGTTATAATAGGCAGACAACATTGTCTTACTCATGTACTCACTTCAAAGCTTTCACTGAGTTTTCCGTTGCGGATCACCTGACACGAAGCATTGTCATAAAGTCAGCTGTTTAATCAGGTTGATAATGACCTGGGCACTGAATGCCATATTGTTGAAGTATTCTCTAAATTAATTCTCCGTCAACGCTGCTTGTCGAAGGCCTTCCAGAAGTCTATGAAGTTGAGGTAGAGGTTTGAATCCCATTCTATGCTTTGTTCGATGATGATACCTACGGTTGCAATTTGATCAGCACATGATATGCCTTTTCCGAATCCAACATGTTCCGATCTGGCGGAGTTCTGAATCCAGTGCTTCTCTTATCCTCTCCAGGATGTCGTGACTTAATATTTTACTTGGCGTGGACAAGAACATTATTCCACCCCCGTTCTTAGAAAGTGAGGTTTAATTTGCCCTCATTTGGCAGATTGACAAGATAACCAACTTTTCTCTCGATCAGTAAACACCTCTAGTTTATTGCAAGCATTTTGCAATAATAGCGTGAGCACATCTACCGCAGTCTCTGAGTCCATTTTCAGTGCTTCGGGGAGAATTCCATCTGGTCCTGCTGCCTTCCCGGACTTCAGTAGCTTGATAGCATTCAAGATTTCTGCTTTCGTCGGAGGACTGGTGCCCAATAATTCTCCCCATTTCACTTAGTTTACTTGTGTGATTACTGCACAGATTACTGGCATAATCACGTATAATGATTTCATATTACTGTTTTTCCACCTAAAAGTAATAAGTGTAACTGAATTAAGACAATGACGTGCATTTATTATCTGTGTCTGGGTATACATGACAAACCAGACATCTGGCGTCACATCAACAATGATAGTGAACCAGTCCATTCGTTCTTTTCAAAGTAAGTTTAAATACTACATTGTGCAATAGACTAAATATTATAAACTGAACAGTTAAAGTATAAATGCATAATAATATAAATACAACTGTACTTCATTTTCAGGCATTATTTGAAGTCATAACATCAGAAGCATCATATTATCGTACACTACACATTTTAATGGAAAAATTCTACAAAGCTCCATGTATGCAACCAGAATCAAAATCTTCAGTGATATCAGCTACAGAAAAACGTCATTTATTCTCAAATATATCAGAAATATTTTTTACAAGTGAAACGTGAGTGTATGAATTCACTAATGTCTATGAAATGCATTGAATGGATAAAGTTTCTATCAGTTTATCTGTGATGACTGTTTACAGAATAATAAATCCTCATTTTACACATAATATTATCACATTCAAAATTATTATGCATATGTAGACGTAAAGCACTAAATTCACCAGTTCAACTTTTAATATTCACACTTTACTACTTATAAGTAGGTTGAAAAAATAGGGAATTTAAGAAGCTGTCATGTATATATACTTCCAATTGTTTCAGCTTTTTGGAAGGGAACTGACTGCTTCGAAATTCTCCAGTCTACTGAAAATTGCATTACAGTATGAGGGACAGTATTTTAAAACTATTCTCTAACTTGTTCCAGGGATGATATGTTTTTTAAATCGGTGTATATTGCTGAGTGAAAAAGTAAACAGTGACATGATCTTACATGCGAGTTTACACATTGAAGTTTGCTGGGTTAATCGCTCTCAATTATTTTACACGATGTTCAGTAATCAAAACATTTGAAAAATTTATTTTACAGTTTTCCATTATTGAGGCTTTTTGTTGATATGAATGCCAATTTGCGCTTATGTACTGTTAAAAACTAGGGCTTACCCAAATAGTAAACTTTTTAGGATGTTTTGACAAGTACATCAGCAAAGCACAACTATTCAGTATGACTCTTTATTTGGATCGCTTTCATTTATCCCATAGATCGACAGGTCAAAAATGTTCAGCCTCTGTTATCGCTCAGACTCCTAGTACGGAAGCTTCGATGATCTCTGAGGACTAACACAATGTTATTTGATAGAAAGTAACTAGCAATAGAGTCCAGGATGCACATTTCGTCCTGCAATCTGGACGAACTTGCATCACCAAAGAGTCTATACCAGAAGCTAAAAAAGACCGGTCATTTTGGCCCAGTCCATCAACAACAAGATCAAAATCGACTTAAAAGAACAATTACTAATACGTATAAGAGGTGGCTGTCATGACCCAAGTGGTTTCGTGGATAAAGATATGAATCGATGGGTTTTGGGTTCGAGTTCCTCACTGGAGATTGCAGAGATAACTAGCCAACGAGTTCCAAATAGGACGGAATGAGCATCCTAGATTTCACTGTTAGTTACCATCCTTCGAATGAATAGAACCTGTTGAATATAAATCTATAACCCATGGTGTACCGAAATCTTAAGTAAATGTTTCCTAGAGAAATCTGTTCAAGTACACTGCAGCATACCTATTTGAAATGTTCCACATATCGTGGCTATTTTTCCGTACAAAAGAGCTTTGGATGAAATAAGAGAAATATCTAGATACCAAGACACCATGTTTTTCATAAAATAATACTTTCTCCTGAAAGAAATGGTGAAAGTAAATCCGATAGAATGTCGAAAACCCCGAGTTTGTGAAACGAAGTACGTTGACTGTGATGCTGTATATGTATATGAAATATACGGACTAACGATCATAAATAACATTTTCATTAACTGAAAAAGCGAGGCGATTGAGTTATATTCCATAGAACTAGCACTTGATATTGTAATGGTGAAACTAAAGTTCTAGAAAATTCCTCAAAGTTGACACTTGATACTTCTTGCCATTAAAACTCCGTAGTACTGTATAAAACAGACGGTGTTCTCTTATCTAATGTCTGGAAATTATTGTTCGCAAATAATATTTAAAATAACAACGATTTCATGGACATATTACCACATATTTATTTCTGAGATCTTTAAAGAATAAAACTTGTTATTGATATTAGATAGTTGAAGGCAGTCGGCAGGAAGCCTCGCCTGACCTACCTTTCGTTCTAGTTGGCACTCACCAGTAAGCAGGGTGTGTCTACAACCTTGAAGGAACTTGTATCCCTTCTGGGATTCGAACCCACGTCACCCAGTGCTACAGTCAGAGACGTTACCACTGAGCTATTCGGGCTCGCTCCTGTAGAACTGTATCGGATAGTTTTGATTGGACAGTAGTTTGTAATGTGGCTACCATTCTAGGTGGCTTGTCATCACGGTGCACTCTAAATTGTTGATATTAGATGGTTGGTGGCAACCGGCCACCTAGAATCCTGGCAACATTACAAACTTGACTGATAGAATTCAGTCTGTACCCAAGATAGGACTAGACACACTACACTAGTCATTGACTAGTGTCCAATCAAAACTTGTTATTGTCAATTCATCATCAAATTCATAAATATTGTGCAAATATGTGATATTTACCATATATTACATATATGCATAGACTTTTTTCAAAAAAGTACATGCTTCTACATAGAAGTTATCATACAGTCATAGTTCTTTGTCTTATGTATTCATTAAAGGATGAAATTTCACATTCTTAATGTCAAGCAACGCATTATTTGTTATTACTTTTGAATGACTAATAAGCAACTGATAAAGAAAACATGATAATTTTAGATAAGTCGAATACACTTATTTGATCACGTATTAATGTCACTGCTATAAATATTTCTTATTTGGAATAAAAGAGAAAATTTGTAGCTCAGATGTATGTTTGGCAATTAGTTGTGTTCTCTGAGCTGGTTGGTCTAATTGCGCATCTTTTGTTGTCCTTCATTTTATGCTAAAACTTGCGCCGAAGATGTTGTCCAGAAGGACAACGAAAGCTCCACAATTAAACCAACCAGCCTAGAGAAGACAAATAATTGCAAATATTCCTTATTTCTCTGAAGAAGGGATAAGTAGAGTGGAAAAGTGTCCCTTCAGACAAGCTGAGACTTGAAAAAGTGTTGACTTGTAGTTCAGAAACCTACAAACTATTCGTTAAGGTGTTCTTCGTAGTAGTGGCTAGATTAAAGTAAACCATATTTCCTTATAAAAATTTAAGGTGATTGACTTAAATGAGGCGATCTCACAAATGTATTATTATAATATGTGATACCAACCACCAAGTTCCATAAAGAAGCTATAGATCTGTGGAGTAATTAGAAGTAATATGTGTTTGTTAGAAAGAGTTATCTTGACAGCAGCAGTAGCAGCACTGAGCTACTAAAGTTCGAATCTCGAAGGGGACATAAGTTCCTACAAAGCCCTAAATACGCCTGGCTGACGTGTGCCAACAAATATGAAACTTGGGCTCAAGATTTCCTGCCTACTGCCTCCAACTGTTGACGCAGAAATTTGAATTTATAAGGCAAAATGAGATACATCTATTCTACTGCACCTTTGCTTCAGTGTGTCGGTAGTTCGACAGTAGAACGCCCGCCAAACACTCAGGGGGTCTAGGATTTGATTCCCAGTCGATGCATTCCTAAAACTCGCCAAGCCGGTATTAAGGCTGGTAAAGAGGTAAGGTTGGGCGTGTAGTTAGCAACCCCACCCTGTAAAAATAAAACCACTGCTAGCGAAACTTCAAAGCTCTAGCTTGAAGTCCTATGTTCCACTAGTAAAATAGAGGTATAAAATAATAATACTGCAGTTTTGCAATCCGATAATGTTTCTCGTTGAAGTGAACAGTTTTCAGTCTTCGAACTACGGCACTCCGTAAACATTTGTTCTAAATCTCTCAATGTAAAAATACAAAAGATTGGATGTATAAACAAACTGAAGTACAAATTTGTTAGAAATAAGGATAACAGAAGATGAACACGAACAGAATATTCTCCAGATTGGCCACACTTATTTACCATCTTAATTTCATGTAAATGAACATTTATTTTCTCTTGTTTTGCAGAAGAAAGTAGCGGTGTGTGTGTGTGTGAATTGATTTTTTGTATCGTGTCAAATAACAGTAAACAACATATGTCACTTATATATGAAAATAATGAAAATTCAGTTTAATTTCCAAATAGTGAAGTGAAGCAAATGTGTAATAAAACAGTAAAGATTAGGCAGCTGAAAATTTAATGGATCCATACCATGTTTATTTCGGGAGGGGAATATATTTGGATTGTACAATTCACTCCATTTTATTTGAATGCTTAAAATCAAATCCCCTTATGTAAAATAAGCAGTTCGAATCAACATATGCTTTCAGTTTATGTCGAACTATCCATCAGTGACTCCTGTCGCGTAAATGATCAGAGTTGAAGTGATTTGAATGGATTCAGCTTTGGTTGTACCCAAATGAGCAGATGGCCACTAGATGTTTGATCTCCTCCACATAGCTAGTAGAAGTAAATGGAGTTCTTAGTTTTTAACGGTAGTTTGGTGCTCTGTAGAATAAATCAGTTTTCGATAAAGAAAGGAAGAAGAAATTTGCAGTATAAAATAATATCATTCTATTTCACAGGTTCTCATCAGCTGCCATTGACTACCTGAAATTACAATGGTTACATAAATGATAATAACATACTTTAATATTTGAGTGGTAGTAGAGAAGAGATACTATAAAATTGACTCATCCAAAATGAAATCATTACAATTTTTAGTTTAAGTTTTCACCATCAATTTATACGCTTTCAAAGTTGAAAAGAGGGAGGAGGGGTAAAACAGAAAACAGAAAAAATTGATTAACAGAACAGTGTTAGCTTGTGGGTTCACATAACAACTCAGAAAGCAAAAGCGGTTACAGTTTATGAGATTAAGATTTGTTCAGTGAGTTGAGATCACTGAATTAGATGACTAATTAATGGAATCAAGATCAAAATTCAGTTACCAAGGTAGTGAGAGGTTAATCACACTCTCTTTCTGTATGCATAAGTCTGGTTTAAATCGTTTGATTGCGATCGCTTCGGCAAATCGTAGTAAATTTGCTGTCCTTTGTCTATTTAATATTTTGAGGGACTTAGAAATCTCTACGAGATGTCTGGTATCAACAATATGTCTGGTAATTGCACTTTGAGAATACTTGCTTCCTTTCAAGCACAGAGTTTTTGGAGTTGCTATGTGAACCTACAAGCTAACACTGTTCTGTTAATCAATTTTCTCTGTTTTCTGTCTTACCCCTCTCCCCTCTTTTCAACTTTGAAAGCGTATAAATTGATGGTGAAAACTTAAACTAAAAATTGTAATGATTTCATTTTGGATGAGTCAATTTTATAGTATCTCTTCTCTACTACCACTCAAATATTAAAGTATGTTATTATCATTTATGTAACCATTGTAATTTCAGGTGGTCTGCAGCTGATGAGAACCTGTGAAACAGAACGATATCATTTTATACTGCAAATTTCTTCTTTCTTTCTTTATCGAAATTTATCAAGAGAACCAATTGTATAAATAAGTTTTCTATCGAGGTGTATCGCTAAATTATTCAAGGATAAACTTGAATAAACAGAAAATGCATGATCTTTATGGAACTCTTCAAACTATCTATCAGTAGGAGAGTAAAGTATTTAAGTAGAAGCTTAACAATTTCAAATTCACAAAGCCTTCGTATACTTGTTTGGCACTTATGTATATATTACTCTTGACTAAACATAATAAATATGACTTTTTAATCACCGTTATCACTACTATTCCCAAAAGTGATTACAGGAATGTACTATCCGGATTCAATAAACCGCCTTACTTATACAGATTTATTAATTACTTTTTTCCATAGTTATAATCTATTTTTAAATTATCTTTATTTAGATTTCTTCGTGACATGGAGTTATATTTTCTCCAGAATCCCCTGATACCACAACTTTGTGAAATTATTTATGAACATGCTGAATTTCATTTTGAAAATTATGTGAAATATGTACAAAATCAAATGTATCAGTTAAGAACTTTATCAAAATTACAGTAAGTTGTTATGTTTTTCTCGTATTTTCTGTCAAAATGAACTTCTTGTTACATTGGAATTAATGGATGAAACAAATATTATCGGTAGCACAGTGGTTAGAACTCTGGCCGACCATGCACATGATCCGGGTCCCGATACATGGTATCAATGGTTGGCCTACAAAATTTGGGCTACCAATATCACAAGCTGAAAATTCCATACTTGTACCAAAAATACTGTATGGTTTCAAGCTATAATCAAAAATTAATCAAAATAAAATATATTATTTAATTCTATGGAAACGAATTAATTAGAAGCGGCCATATTATTTGAAAAATCTGATATGATGAAGAATACGAAGAGCATTCCTAATACTTATGATTTAATGAGTGAAACTCTAGATGGTTCCACAGATAACATCTTACAGGAGAAAAGTAAATGTACAAACTGAGTTACAGATGGACGATGGTTATCTACTTTTGTATATATAGTCACTCAAACTGAAGATTGTGAAGCTGTTTCGAAAATGAGCCATGAGCGAAGTTAAAGTATCATAGCCAAAGCCAAGGTCATTCAACGGCTAACCAACGGGGACCAATCAGGTATAGGGAATGTTATGAAAAGTTATTCCGAATCAAATTATGCCTCACCTTTTGGACATGAAGAAGGCAGATACAGTATTCTACTTATTTACCAGATACTTTTCCTGCAAATCTACACTGTTAAGTAGAGTTATGGCTTTTAAGATTAAGGTTTAGGGTTAAAGTTAGGATTAGGAGATAGTATTATAGTTACAGTATCAGAAATATTAATGGACCTCAATGTACCATGACCTACAGTCATCTCGATGAATGGGTATGTGGCGCATGGTATGATTTCCCCATATATCATCTGTGTATTGAATGGAAGACATTCTTACAACACGTAAGCTAAAACTATACAGTGTATTATCCTGTTAGCAATATTTTTAGTGTATTTTTCAACGATTATGCGACATTTCTGTATCCAAATTCTGACTGGTTGTTCAAGGTCACTGTAGTTTTGGACATGATAGTTTAAAACTAGCAACAAAGGTTAATACGGCAAGATTTAATGAATTCATCAAATCAGCCTTATATTTCCCAATGTAATTTCAAAAGTATGTATATCCGTGTATATAGAGTATTTAACTGACGAGTTCTACCGAAATTTGATGAATTCATTAAATCCTGCTTTATTAATATTTGTTGCTTGTTTTAAATTCGTATCTGGAAGCAAATGTTTTCAATTTATGATAGTTTAACTTTGCCGAGCCATCTAAATCTCAAGAAAAGGTTTCGATTACACAATGAATGATAAAAACATTATTGCTTTGCAAGAATTCTACTGATTCTGTGATTAATCACGAACTAATTTCATTTAGAGAACCATTAAAAACCCCGGTGTAATAGGTCGTGGGTGCCTACAGTTAATATGTCACCAACAGGGATGAAACAGTTGCCCAGTACTCCCAGGTCTTCAATAGTTCTCTAAATGAATCTAATCCTTGAACAATTCAGAAAGGAAAGCATTATTGTAAAAACAACAGTCCATTAGGCATTTTCATGCGCTTTCCACATTCTTATTCTTTTGCTTTTGGTAGTAATCCTGTGGTTATTATTTCTGACTTCCAACTAAATAGTTTTCGTCAGCTAGCTTTATTCGACTACAGGTTTATTTCTGAACATTAGGTCTGTGGTGATATGTTTAAGTCTCTATCCATAACAAAGTAGCTCTTCAGTATTCCTTGGTTTTGAATGATCATTTTGTTGACGACTCAATCTATTTTGATTGTCAGTACGTAATATTTTAATGTGCACACAGTAGAAAGGATTGACTCTGAAAAGCAGCCAGTGGCTGTTATCAGCTAGTAAAAGAATGCACTTCTAGTGTTGGTTCAGCTACATGAATATTCTTTTAAGAAGTGAGTGATTGTGATAATTATGCAATAAGAAGACGTAATTTGTCTGAGTAGTGTAATGTGCGTTTGCGCAACACATTTCGAACAATCTGATCACACACGGACTTATCATAGGAATATATATGAAGTTAATAAAAAGTCAGGAGGTGAGAAAATAGACTTAGGTCAAGTTAAAAGGACATATTGAAGGTCAAAATAACAATGAAGACCACTAAACCAAATAGGGGAGGTAATAGTACATCTGCTATGGTATCAAAACAAAATTTACGAAAGAAAAGATCGATGAGTCCTCCCTATGTATGCAAGTAAGGGCTTCAGAGCATATTCCAAAATGGCTCCAGAAACAAATGGAATCTTCAGAACCAATTAACGGTGAGAACAGGAGACCTAGCTTTTCTATTGCGAAATATATTCTTGAGACAGGACATAAAATTGACGTTAACAGATCTTTTAAACCTATCTATAAAACGTGTTTGGAGCGTATCCTAAAGTTTGTGGAAGCCCTAGCTGGCAATTAGAAAGTTTAAACCACCTTAATGCGTTCAAAAATAATTCGTCATCACATCAAACATTCCTTGGTAAATTTTGTTTTGATACCATAGCAGATGTACTATTACCTCCCCTATTTGGTTTAGTGGTCTTCATTGTTATTTTGACCTTCAATATGTCCTTTTAACTTGACCTAAGTCTATTTTCTCATCTCTTACCTCTTTATTAATTTCATATATATTCCTATGATAAGTCCGTGTGTGATCAGATTGTTCGAAATGTGTTGCGCAAATGCACATTACACTACTCAGACAAATTACGTCTTCTTATTGCTTTATATAATTTCATTAAGGGAACTAATTGTATTAAATATGATGATTATATTTTTAAAAAGTCACTTCATGGTATTCTCACCGATCTATTTCATCATGTATGATGGATAAGTCATGTAATAGACCGAAGTGAAAAGTGTTACATAATCAGAAAAGCAATATGGCCATCAGTGTAGTGTAACAGTGAAACTGAATTCATTAATCCCTCCGAGCCAATTGCAGGTGAACAAATCAGTTAAAAAAAAATTGTAATCAATGATACTATCTTAGTAACGATGCTAGAAGATAAAAATACCTTCTGTATATTACGGCACAGTAGCTTTTATTATTCTCACATTGATAGTATAAAGAAATATCAAGTGTTCTAGGATATATATATATATATATGTATAAATTATTGCAGAATAATTTACATTAACTTTGGCCAAGATCTGATCTGATAATTATACAAATATTGGGCGCCATGTGGAAATTAGACATAAATAAAACTTATTTTCCTATACATCTCAGAGATATTGTAACCAGAGAGAAAGAAACTTTTATTTTTGCAAAGGAAACACTCACTTATGCATGAGAAGCAATGTAGTCAATGTTTGTATGACTTATCAAAAAAAAAACACATCCTGATATTTTCGAGGTTTTTCACTGTCTCTTGGTAGATTTCGTCAAACAGCTTTCAAGAACCCCTTTTTTAATGTATGTTTAAAAATATTCTTATGCCTTTAAAAGGAAAGTCAGAAAATTTACCAAATAGCTGGAAGTTTTTATGTGAGAAACTACAATCATGTTTGCTCGACAAATGACACATTTTAACAAATTTTCATTGATTACTTGAATTTATTCTTGTCTTAGATCATCTCCAGCTTTTGTAGAAGCTGTTCGTTCAGTACAACAACAACCAAGCTGCGGATTTTTAGATCTCAATTCATTCTTGCTGTTACCAATGCAGCGTGTTACACGTTTACGTCTGTTATTGATTGCTATATTACATTATGCTCCCAAGAACAGTGTAACTTATCAAGGCGGTTTGGTAGCACTTGCTTCTTTGGAAAGAGTAAGTCAAAATGTGATTTCCTGTTTTTATTTAGTACAATATTTACAGGAAGTGATCCTTAAGAAGTGTCATATGTACCTGTCTAGTTCTTATTAAATCTGTCAGCCTAAAACCGTCAGAAAGCTGAATGACAGAACTGTGTGATATGCTGTAATTTGGTATCAGAATTTAGAATCGAGGTGCTTCTAGGCATCAACTGATTATCAAAGAGTTCCGAAAGATTACAATAACACTTGTCAACAAGCTTCGAAATAAAGTCTGTAGATTTTACGCTTATACTACTATTATTATTATTTTAGCAGATATAAAAATATGTTTAAAATTATAAATGATCACAATATTCTCTCTAATTTATTATTTCTCAGAAACTAAACTTTCCAAGTGTTGGTTTGCAGGAAATTAATTGATTTCAACTTCGATTGTGAAATGACTTCTGTTAGAGAGCCACTGGAAACCAAAGAGTAGCTGGATGGTAACCTGAAGTTTCTGTGTCCAATCCTTGATGTGATTATGGGTGTATACGGATGAAGAGTCACTTGAAGGAGCGAAACAAATCTCCAGTACTCCTTGGTTCACGATAATACTAGAAGGGGAACCGCTATTTATATACGCGCTTTGAATTTCTTTGGCAGCTGGTAATTATTTTTAGATGATTGAAGGCAATAAGGAGGAACCCCTGGACCTAAATTTCGCCCTTGCTGTCACTCGTCAATAGTACGTACCTGCAATCCTGAAGGAAATCGTGTCCCTTTTGAGATTCAACCTGGGTCACCCAGCACTGCACAAGAGGACAATTGTAAGTGTATATAGCTCAATGGTAACATCTCTGACTTCAGCGTTGGGCGGCCCGGGTTTGAATCTGAGAAAGCACATGAGTTCCTTCAGGATTACAGATACGCACTGCTGATGATTAACAACAAGCACGAAAGCTAGATCCAGCGCTTTCTACCGACTGCCTTCAGCCACCTAGAGATACTTCAGAGTTTGCTGTGATGGCGAACCACCTGACATAGTGACTACATTGCAATCTTGACTGACAGAATTCGGTCTGCATTAAGAGCGGGAGCAGACATATAACATTAGTTATTAGCTAGTGTCCAACCAAAAGGTGATGATTATAAACTATTTTTACTCTTGAAATTCTTTCTTTCATCTTACACAAAAGTACTACTGAATTATGCTTTAAGGATAGCAGATGTAAAGGTTAATCTTTAGACTATCGGCATAGCGGTTTATAAATAATATTAACATATAGGAAAATACAAAAGTTTTTCTCTAAGTGGTTCGGAAGAAAAGCTGTTGTAACTTACTCCAATTTGTGTCATGTAAAATGAAAAAGGATAAACACTTTGTACTGAAAAATTATTGTTACACAAAATTCATTTCAAAATAAATATGGGTGTGAAAATGAAACAGCTTATGTTGTAATTTCGCTAACATATGTGTCTGCTGAAAGGAAACTATCTAACAAATCTTGTAATTTCGACATAATAAGTGCGAGAAAATCTTGTCATCAATATATGATTTCTATCGCCTGTGAAGATAGAGATGAACTAAGAGTAAATAGCTATCGGCATACACTTTGTCTTACTGCGAAGTTATCATTTATCATTACTATTATTCCCTTGCGTTCCGAGTAGAACATACGGCTTCAACACAACAACTACACTTTCTTCTATTCTCTACTGTCCTCTTCATCTGACTGACACCGCGACTGACCATAGTCTCTTATCTCCTTCTCAACCCCACCCAACTCACCATCTCCTCCATGTCACTCGCACACCAACCAAACATTCCTCGTTTCCCATTCGGATTCCACTCAATCGATGGCCTGCATTAAACACAACACCATTCGACGGCCTCGTCAGCGTATGCTCGATCAATCCATCTCCATTTTCTCCCACACATTTGTTGAGCAATCGGCTTTTGATTGGTTTGTTCCCAGCCAGAATTTCTTGCCACTAATTCTTCCTGGTTGGCCGGTCATTTTATCTCCTGCACGGAGCCATTGAAAGCAGCTGTTGATAAAAATCCGCAGTGGCCTATTGACAATCCATTCCGTAACGTATTCGCTAAGTTTCTGACCCGTATAGAAGAAGTGACTGACTGACTGACTGACTTGACATCTGCGTTGATAATCTGAACCTTGTTGTCTACACTGAGAGCAGAAGATTTCGAAACTGATTTCAGTTTGATAAAGGTGTATCTTGCCTTTTCCATTCTGGCCTGCTTTGACATTTTCATCCGTTCCAACTGCCTGTGGCTGAAACGATGCTTCCTAGGTGAGTGACAGGCATTACTAGCTGATATAGGTGCAGGTTGGAAGAGAGTAGGTGGTGGCCAAACAAAAACATGGCATCCATCAATCCATGAAATCCTTGACAGTTAAACTGAGTCAGGTAGGGAGATGCAGAATCCCGGGTTGGGGCCCTCGGGACTCAAGGAATCAATGACTGGAGACAATAGGTGACATGCCTCAAAATCGTTGTCAATGGCCAGCGCAGATGTATTCAGTCTCTGTAATCTTTCATATTCCTTTCTGCCATTACCCATTCTGTTTCACTCTTATACTCGTCAAACTCTATTGATTCTCTTCACTCATCTTCTTGTCTACCTTTGTGTGCTATTTGGAACGTGGCAACTCGAACTGCTGCACTTCGGTGCCAAGTTATATGTTGAATCCAGACAGACAGAAGGAAGTAACCTACGAAATAGAGAATTTAATTTAAAAATCCAGAGTTCGTATTGTTAACTAATAGTTAATAAATAAGATACATATTCCAATCAAAATACTTACGAATATCAACATAAATGAAATGATTACATAATAATTAAGTTTATCTGAAATAACAAAGTGGCACAGTATTAATAACTGTAGGACGTTTTGAGCACAATTTACCGCTCACAATAATATCATTACATTCCTACGACTTCATAATTTGCTAGGTATCTTTTTTCATCCCCGTTCGTAATTCATTGCAATTTCCCATACACCAACAGATGCTTTGAATCATTTCGACTGCGCTCGCTTGGTGTTAATTCTATGAACAAAGATTCTGTGATTATCGCTCTCCACCTAATTACATTACTTTTTTTAATACTCTTGCTCTATCCCAAGTTATTGTGTGATTAGACGCTAATGAATGCATTGCAAACTAATAGATCATAGTCAGTTAAATTATCGGGACATAGAAACTCAGATAGAGCTAAAACGATTGACCCTGCCAAGTTAAATAATCTAGGAAAAGGCTTGGCCAATGCAACACATTCACTAGCGTGTAATCACACTATAGGGTGGGATAGGGTAAAAGTATTGAAAAAGTAGTGTAGTTAGGTGGAGAAATAGACACTAATCACCGAATATTTGTTCGTCACTTCTACACCAAATAAGTACAACTGAAATGGCGCAACTCCTCTGCTGATATATGGAAAACTGCAATGAATAAAAAGAGGGGAATGGAAATATACAAAGCGAGTTATAAAGTTGTGTGAATACACTGATATTGATTTTGAGCAGTAAATTGTGCTCAGAACGTCATTTACTTAGCAACACTGTATCACTATGCGACATATGAAATGAACTGATCTTATATGGAATTTTATCCTACTACCGTGCCTAAATTCTACACTTACAGTAGTTGTAGTGATCATTTTGCATGTTTGCTTGTTTTTCGATAACAAACCACTGAGAATTGAAAAGAGTATATAGTTAAAATATCAGAGAAATAATTTGATGATTAATCTAATTCTATCTTATGCAAACCAAAAGATCCAACAGAAAAAGGGGATAAAAATAACATCATTTACAAAATAAATTGTATGAACTGTAACGAGCATTACATCGGCCAAAGTGGGCATCCCCTTTGAATAAGAATCCAAGAACACAAATCAGCCGTGAAAGGACACGATATATATTCTTTAATATCAATGCATATAGACAATTATGGACATCAATTTGATTGGCATAACGTCGAAATCTTAGACAGAGGAAACACCAAAAGTGCCAGGGAATTTCTAGAAGCCTGGTATTCATAGGAGTATGAAATTAGCAAACACGTTAATATAGACGAAATATACCAACTAATAAAAAGTGAATCAGGTGACCAGAAAGTTTAAAATCCAAGTCAATAGAAAACGGTCAATACATATCTAAAGATGGTTACCGGGAGACGCAGTCATATCACTCATGAAGAAATTTAAATCATTTTACTTTATCCTAAATACTGCGCTGAAGATGTCGTTCAGAAAGACGACGAAAGCTCCGCAACTAAACCAACCAGGTCAGAGAACGCTATTAACTGCAAATCATCCACCTGAGTTACAAATCTTCTCTATTATTTCAAAATCTAATTTATTCTTTGTGTTCAAATTGGAATATACGGCTTCCAGCCTTACGCTTTAAAATTTGATCAGCACTTGTGGTATTTTTATAGGGTGAGGTCACTAGCCGCACTCCTGATCTTTCCTCTTCCCCGGACATGCTGCCATTTAGGCGAGGTTTAGAAGTCCGTCAGTCGATGGTCTAACTTCAGACTACGTGCGTGCCTGCCGGGGATCTTTATCCCTTAACGACTGACGCATATACTTAAAATAATAATGTCCAAATGACATACTTCAAAGCTGTTTAAAACAACAAACATTTCTCACTGATACGTTGCTGTGGCTCTGGGAAATTTCGAGCTGAAGATAATAATTCTTAATTTCACTACATTTTTACTCAGCATTTTGGCATTTTTTTTATTGGATCGCATTTGTAATGAAAATTACCTTCACTCATGCGAAAAGAGATTTATCATGTTAAAGTATAGTGTTTACAAGTATACTCCAAACACATTTCCCTAACGAGATTTGCTTAATAGATTTTATATGTTGTTGGATGGTTGGAAGTAGCCGGAAGAAATGCATGGACATAGGTTCCGTGCTTGCAAGTACTCTTCATCAAGATATTTCTGCTAAATCAGCTGATATAACTTAGTCAGCAAAAGGGGCCAGTGACCGGCAGTGAGTGTTCTACAGTATATCAAGTATTCATACCTATATAAGTTATTATATAGATATCAGGTTTCAGTACCATAATAACTTCCCAATTTTGGTAGTTGAATATATGTTTCTGCTAATTTATTCATACCATGAAGACTCCACAATCAAAACATGTAAAGTAAAAAATAGTCTGCCCACCTATATATCTAATAACTAAAGTATACCAAGTGTTGTCTAATAATTATTTGTGGTCTCTTTTTTTCTTTACAGCTTATAGGTAAATGTGATTCAGAAAAAGCTCATATGGAACAGAAAGAACGTCTTGTAGATTTGTGTCGAAGGTTAGAATATAAATATGATGCAAAGGTAATCTTTCATGAAAAGCCCTAATAATATATTTATTTTTTATGTTATATATATCTTTACATACCGACCAAACTTGTATATTAAAAGTCATAGTAAATTCTTTGATACATAATTAACGTTTTTCTTCATCTCTGTATGATTCTCTGTCCGATCCATCAATAACCTCAGCAAGTTCTATAAAAAATAAGTGGGATTAGTTGTATTAGCCTTAAGAATCCCAACTTGAATCTCACGAAAGCGTTATTCTTCTTGCATATCAAAACATATAACATATAAATCTCACGTCAAATTACAATTAATTCAACATCACCAGCAACCATGTATGTGGTGTTTGTAAAATACTCCTGTATCAACCGAGTTTAGTTATTGAGGTCTTCATCATTCAGTCTGATACTATGTACACATGGCTAGAATGCGTCACTGGAAACTTCTCGAAAACTTTTCATGATATGGATGTCTATTTCAAATTCAAATGTCCCAGAATTTAGAGATGGTAGTCTGTGATACCCATGAGAAACGCACTTGTGAAAACAAGGAAATATGTTATGTCTTCAACCAGAAAAGCTAGTTGACTTCAAACAATAATAAGTAATAAATATATGTCTACATCTGTACATCTGTGTGAGCGAAGTAGCTGTCAGTGTGATAACGTATTTACTATTTTGCATATATATAGTTTAATAAGCTTTTTATTTTATTTTCAAACATTAATGTGCTCAATTAATTAGTCTTTGGCAACTGAAAGTCGGACACTTGTAAAAGAGGGCGATCTACGCATATTAACAATGACAAATGCACATAGCAGTGGATTTCATCGTCGATTTAGCAGTATTCGTAAACCTAAACCAGCAGTTGCTACCTTATTTCTATTCAGTGACTATCTATTAATTACAAAGAAACGAAGGTATGTGTTCATTACTATTTTAAATTTATCTTTTCATATAAAGTATTATTTCATTCATTAATATTATGTCGACTTCTAAACAATCTGTTTTCGTAACCCTATTAAATTCAAATTTGAAGTCATTAGAATTTATCAATGTACTAGTTCATAAGGAAGAAGGAATTAAAACATGCAATAAGTGCTGATTACATATCCAGTGAGTACCTATTAGAACCTGTCTAGTGGAACCTTCAAATTAACTTCGTTTCTAAAGTATTAAGGTGTTACATACATTTGGTTCCCTTGATAAATTTCGATAAAAAAAGCAAGAGGAAATTTGCAGTGTAAAATAATATCATTCTATTTCACAGGTTCTCATCAGCTGCCATTGACTACCTGAAATTACAATGGTTATATAAATAATAATAAAATACTTTAATGTTTGAGTGGTAGTAGAGAAGAGATACTATAAAATTGACTCATCCAAAATGAAAGGACTACAATTTTTAGTTTAAGTTTTCATCATCAATTTATACGCTTTTAAAATTGAAAAGAGGGAGGAGGGGTAAGACAGAAAACAGAGAAAATTGAATAACAGAATAGTGTTAGCTTGTAGGTTCACATAGCAACTCAGAAAGCAAAAGCGGTCACAATTTATGAGATTAAGATTTGTTCAGTGAGTTGAGATCACTGAATTAGATGACTAGTTAATGTAATCAAAATCAAAATTCAGTTACCAAGGGAGTGAGAGGTTAATCAATCCCTTGGTAACTGAATTGTGATTTTAATTACATTAACTAGTCATCTAATTCAGTGATCTCAACTCACTGAACAAATCTAAATCTCATAAACTGTAACCGCTTTTGTGTTTTTGAGTTGCTATGTGAACCTACAGGCTAACACTATTCTGTTAGTCAAATTTTTTCTGTCTCACCCCTCTCTCCTCTTTTCAACTTTAAAAGCGTATAAATTGATTTGATAGTGTGAAATATTCCCATATTATGAATTAAAAGTCAATCTGAACATTATTTTCTAATCGATTTCAGCCTAGTACATTTGTTACACAAATACGACTATTTATTTTGACATCCCATATATTCTACGTTAAAAATGTATCCGCTGCATAATTGGCCTTTATTGTAACGACCGCAAATATTGTATTTTATAAATGTAAGAACCTGAAGAGAAATTATTGAAAAGTATAAATTGATGATGAAAACTTAAACTAAAAGTTGTAGTGCTTTCATTTTGGATGAGTCAGTTTTATAGTATTTCTTCTCTACTACTACTTAAACATTAAAGTATGTTATGATAAACTATAAAACCATTGTAATTTCGGGTAGTCTGCAGCTGATGAGAACCTGTGAAATAGAATGATATCATTTTATACTCGAAATTTCCTCCTCCTGTCTTTATTGAGGTGTTAACAGAAACCAGTCACACCTAGTTGTATAAGATAAATCCCAGAAGGCTAACTTCAGTACCAATGCACAAATAACTGAGTATTTAAATCACATTGTGTTATTAGGAACAGACTGTTCAATTGTCTCTTTTTGAATCATCAACTATCTGTTTATGAAAACCTTCATTCTTGAAAGATAAGTCGATATGATTTGAAGTCACAAAGTTGTTTTTCCTATCTAAGCATATTCTGATTAATTTCAATTAGGTATTTTTAGAGGACATTATCCTTCTGAAATCACAGGATGTGCTCTGGCAGAGACAAAGTCGTTAGACTTATTCAGATAAATTCACTTGTAACCTAAAACTATTGTTAATGAAATGTTATTACAGTATACCAAGTAGATCTCTGTCCCATCTATTCAACACTGAGATCAAGGGGAACACCAACAAATTTGTTGACTATAATAACTATGAATAACACAGTGGAGCTGAGTAAAACAACTGATACAAGTGGTTAGTGTACAAAATTGCATGATACTTATATTAGTTTTATTGTTCTCTTCGGTACTGAGTGGGACATAGAGCTTCAGCAGCACGTCTTTACTTCGTTCTATTTTCTGCTGTTCTCTTAAGCCGGCCCTACAATTGCCTATATTCTCTGATCACCTCAATGATACTTATATTGCTAAATATATTATTGGTGAAAGTATCTAATTATGTACTTGACTATTTCACAAGGCGGTTAACCAGGTTCCTAACTTAAATCTAATCATATTTATTGAAAAATCGAATTTCTTGAAAATAACCATCCAAACTGAGTTTGTTTATTTACTGAACTGTCGAATATCTAGTGCATCTGTTTTATGTCGTTTTAAGAAATTAAGCAACATGACTGTATTATAAAGTACTTTTACGACATGTAAGCTGACCTTTATGGCTGAAAATCTTCAGCCTGGAATTTTTCGCTAAACAAAACGATTGACATTGCAAAGTTCCGTTTGTGCTACTGATTAGCTATGCTATACCAACTCTACTAAACGTGATATGCCTAATTACGCATTCAGCCAGTATACTGCATGGCTTGTAAATACTGAGAAGGGAAAGGCAAATCAAACCTGACTGATAAGTTTCAGTCTACACCAAAAAAGAGGAGTAGACACATCACACTAGTTACTAGTGTCAAATCAAAAAGAATCAGCTATATAGGGAATGTGCTCTAATGAAAAGTACATTTAAACAGAATAAACAGTTAAGTTTATTTAGGAGAAAGATCTTAAGAATTATCTGGTGTGAATGGCTGAACTATGGAATCTGAGTACGTTTGTGTTAACAGAAAAGGAAGGAGCGCAAAACTGCCTCTCGGAATGGCCAGATGCTTACCCGTCAAAATAAAACTAAAGAAATTTACATCATCCACACATAGTTAATAATAAGTTGATTCGGTATGATCAACTAACTTTGGTTCTGTGGAAGGTGTGCTACAGTCTTATCTTTTAAGAAGCCGCTTCCAAAAACTTCGTGATTTTCTCGTGATTACTAAACTTTCTTACTGCCCTCCCAAAGTACCTGATGCACAAATATTGAATGCTGTTTAAATTTTAACAGAGATACTTTTTAGATAGTTGGAGGCAACCGGCTACAAGAAGCCTTGGACCTAGGTTTCGTGCTAGTTGGCACTCACCAGTCAGCAAGGAGTATCTGCAACCTAGAAGCAACTCATGTCCCTTCTGAGATTCGAACCCGCATCACCCAGTCCTACAGTCAAAAACGTTACCATTGAGCTATTCGGGCTCGCGATTGACCTCCTGTAGGACTGTAGTGTATACTTTGATTGGACAATGGTAACTAGCGTGATGTGCCTAGTGCTTTCTTTGGTGCAGACTGAATTCTGTCAGTCAGGTTTGCAATGTGGCCACCATTCTAAGTAGCTCGCCATCCCGGTGCACATTGATTTGATTATATTAGATAGTTGGAGGCAATCCGCAAGAAGCCTAGGACGTTTTGATTATATCTTCTTGAGATGTTAGAGAATAATCAATCAAGAAAAAAGGTTAGACATTTAATACAGATAACTGTTAACTAAACTGAATACTACCACAATTATTTTACCATCTATCAATGTAAAAACACTTAAACTTAGTTAATGTGCTGTCAAATAACTAATATAACTTCAGACTAATGCTTTCAGGTTTTAATTCGTTGGTTATAAATTTTTTTATGTAGTTTAGCATCTGATTCTGGGTGCTTAATCCTCTGCTCATCTTTTCTTAATCCAAGTAATCAACATTTATTGGTCGAGGATAGTTGCTCTTTGGATTATATTCATGTGGAGGCAAAAAATACACCACCCAATAGCTTTGTACATCATTTCTGTCGACCTGGAAATCCTGAATTAAATTCACAATTAGGACATGCTACTTTTGTAAGAACATTAAGTCTTTCTAAACCAACTACTAATGAAATAGTCAACTTTAATAATCAAAGAACACGGAAATTTTCCACAGATATGTCAAATGGGCCAGATGTTGCACTCAATGCATTTTCATTCCTGTTAATCATAGAAGGTCCTGATCATCCGCGTGTACAATATGAATTCCAAACAGAAACGCTGTACGTTTACTCAGATTTATTTAACTTTTATACTTTTATTTTGTATTAAATATTTATGTTATATTTTTACTCTGCTAGCAAAAAGCCGAAGACAAGGTAAATTTAACATTATATATATATATGACACTTACTACTAGGATGCGTTATCAAATGTAGTATATATAGCAGTAGATTAGTATTTCACGGCTGACGTTCTGGTTACAACTTATTACTCGTAATCAGATCCCGTTATATGATAAAAATTTAACTGAGGTTTACTATCAGCCACGATAGTAGATTTCTCTTCTTTCATATTTCAGAAATGAGTTGATAGAAATGAATCTTCTATAGTTTGGTTTGTAAGGGTTAGTTATGTTTTTACGAGCTGAGCACAAACCAAACTATAGAAAATTAATCTGATGCTCGCTACTAACTTACTCTAGGTTGGAGTGTCCTGAGTTCTAGTGAGAAGTCGTGACCAGTGAGGTCCAATCGGATGTCACGTGTGTGAATGGATGTCCCACCAACGACAATGGTTGGGGTAGCACTAAATCACGAATTGGTAGAAGTTAGAATTCATGAGCCATTGAATCGGGTCCCAGTGGCTGAATGGTATACCAGCTTGCCTTGGAACCGGAAGGTCCTGGGTTCGAACCCTGGCAATGGGTGCGTACTACCGATGATTCCCAAACTAGGATGAAACAGCAGATGTCCAGTACTCCCTGGTTTTCAATGGTTCTCTAACTGATATCGATCCGTGATCAACTCGTAAGAAATGAATCTCTAAATTCAAATAATTTATACCCACCCAAAAAACAGATACAGCTCGAGTAGTAAACAAATGGTGCTTGCAAAAATACTCACCATCAGCAGACCCTCAACACTAAGAATCGTATTTCACAAATGAAATAACAGTGAATGAAGTAGGAGAGTTTAAAAGAAATTTAGAACAAATCTTGAAAACCAAAACGATTAAAAATTCTATTTATTCAAAAGAAGAAATATTCACTCAGTAACTCATTAACACAGGAGATTAGTTTAAAGAAGGAATGCCTATGCCCAAGTCGAATGAAATCTATCTACACATTTTTACAAGTGGTATTAATCAAATCAAAGTTATGACATTCAGTCCACAAATGTAGGAGCAGGCAAACTATGTTCAATGCATCCACTGAAACTCAGAAACTCAACTTATGTTAACAAATCTATTGAGACAGTAAATGTCTCCAAGTGTTGATAACGTGAAGATCCTTGATTCTATCCCTGCTGGGATCATGGGTATGTACTGATGAAGAGCCCCAAACAAGAACAAAATGTCTGTTCAGTAATACCCGATCCTCTAAATGAATTCAATTCGTGATCAGAATAATTCCTTTATCATCTGATCAGTGAACCATAACGATTAGAAATGCATATAAACAATACAAAGATTTCACAAACTCAGACAGGTGAATCAGAAATTATGTATAGATTGATACCGAAATCTCGATGGGTGAAAGCTCGAACCTGAAGAACAAGAAAAGTCTTGAAACACTAATTGTTTGATTTCTATCACCTCAACCACACAAGATGTATAACACGAATTAGATAATTATCATGCGTACATGAACAGATTTATTTCTAAGAGATTAAAGTTGTTGAAACGCCAGTGAATAGTTGTATTTGTCAAGAAAACAAAACGACAACATCCAGCTCCAATATTACAAAGCTCGTTTTTTAATTCTGCATGTTAATTTTTATGATACATCTCTGAATTTGACAGTGAGTGATTCCTATACTGCTCCCAGTATTCTACATACACTTATTATAAAGATTTTTCATCAACAATCATAGAATAATGGGTCCAGATAACTAATCAACTCTTAAGCTACAGGAACCTTAGCAGTATAATTTTACCTTTCAGTATTTTGATATGCTTTTTATTTCAAAGTATGCTTTAAGTATGGGGTATACGTATAAGAGGTTCACAGTAATCTAGTCAATAAAATTTTTAGTTGTTTATTATTATTCCCTTGGGTTTCAACTAGTACATTAGGCTTCAACAAAACATCTACACTCTCTTCTATTCTCTGCTGACCTCTTCAGCTGGCTGACAGCACGACTGACCGTAGTCTCTTATCTCCTCCTCCTCCTCTTCACCCCCACCCATCACGCCATCTCCTCCATGTCACCCTCACACCGACCACCCACTCCTCGTTTCCCATTCGGATTCCAATCAATCGATGGCCTGCATTAAACACAAAATCATTCGACTGCCCGATTAATCCATCTCCTACATTCTCCTACATACTTGTTGAACAATCAGCTTTCGGTTGGTTTGTTCCCAGCCAGAGTTTCTTGTTACTAATTCTTTCTGGCTGGCCAGTCATTTAACCTTCAGTAAGGGGCCAGTGATGACAACTGATGGGAATCCTTTTCGTAACGTATCCGCTAAGTTTCTGACGCATATAAAAGAACTGACTGACTTGACATTTGCATTGATAATCTGAATCTTGTTGTCTATACTGAGAGCAGAAGATTTCGAAACTGATTTGATTATGATGAAGGCCTATCTTGTCTTTCCGATTCTAGTTTTTAACTGTTTAATTAGATCGAAATTCTATAAATATTTTTATTTAAATGTGCTTTCTGTACTCAGGTACGTCTTAAATTTAGTTTCACAGGAAACGTTAGTCTGCTTAACAGAGACTTTTCAGAGAATCAAATGACATCGAAACATCCGGTTATATGTCGCAAAAAAACACTTTACCAATGATAACTGCTGTATCAACACTTAAGATTCTATTAATAGAAAAACTCATGAATCTCAAAGTTACGTTTAACACTAAAATATAATAATAATAATATCGTAAATTATTAAAAAATTCAAAAGTTTAAGCTGATTCTAACAGTTAGATTTGCTAAGTGGAAATTAACTTTGTTCTTTTGAAATGTCGCATTTGGTTTTTTCAACTCATCTTTTAATAAACTCTCTATGAGGATTAATGCTTAGGACTATTAAAGGCTTTCCCTCAAAATATACTTTTCGGCACAACCAACTATTAGCATTCAAACAAAAAGATGTAATTTACTTTCGTCATTATTGAACCTAAAAACTTCCATTGGGATTATTAATAATTACCATTGCTTCAACAGACGAAATTGATTTCCACAAATACTACCAAAGACAGCCCATTGGAAACCTTGTCTACCGAAATACTCCATCATTATATTGCATAGAATTTCTCTTGCTCAATTTGTTTTAATCTATTAGAATATGACATCTTATTGTGTTTTTCTACGCTCGTGAGTATTTAAAATGTCAATAACCTTCGGATTCGCGAGTTTCTACTAAACTTGGGAAAAAGCAAAATCATGGTTGGTAATATATTCCAATAAATGAGATAACTGTCCCTGAGATTTTTAGTACAAACTGCCATTACCCGGGAACTAAAACTTATTACCCTTAGTATTCAGCTATTATTATGTTCTTAGATCGAAAAAAATGTACCCTTGCACATTTCTTAATTAGAGTTTAAACAGATGTTGTACATTTCTTGAATAAGGGCAAAGAAGAAATATCATAAGGGATTGGTTTCCGCTTCATATCACGTGATTTACTGTCAGTTAATATCTTACTTGAAGAAAAACTATTACGCAATGACTTCCGCTGAAAATTCTATGCATCAAAGAAACATTGTACAGAATGAAGCTATTATTATTGTTATTCAAACCTACCGAATTATATCTATAATTCTCTCCTCTTTATGTATAGAGGATGAAAGTAAAAGATAATTGTCACAGATGAAATTGCTTGTGCACATTTCCTTGATACCAGTGGTCCCGTACAATATATTTATTAGTGAAATGTTATTGAGTTTGACCAAAAGATAAGATCAGTTACTGATATTATGGTCAAAAACAAGGCTAAAATTTGCGACATAAGCTTTTTCTGATAATAATCTCTAATTATCCTAATTATATAATCGTTTGTACTTAAAATGACTCTCAAATAGCTCTATATTTTCCAGTATATATTTATTATTTCCTTTGACTGCATTATATATTTGGCGGTTACTTTTTGTACTGAAAACAAGTAACTGGAAATTATCTACAAATTAATATTATCCTCATGATTGCTCCCACCCTCATTATATATTTGTCTCATCGCAGTCAACTATTCGGATGAAAACCTATTAAATATATAGAAAAATAAATGCCTTTAGTAATTCCTAATATTGATTAGACTGTTCGCAGACTAAGACATGGTCTTAACCGATGAAGCTATCAAATGTTAATCTTAATTGTGTTTGTCTAGGTAAAATTTATGTGATATTATTCAAAATCATTCTCACTATCGTAGGCACATTCATAATTTATCTCTAATCTTTAATCGTAATATATCACCTTTTACTACATTTCCCTCCTTTTAATGCTCTAAAACTTTTGATTATATTAAAATAATTGTTTGGTTTATTACAACCACAGATTAATTGTGGGCAGAAATGCCTCAGCTACTGAGAAAATCCACAGCTAACTTTTATTCTTTATGTATTCCACACATTCTACAGCAGATTTAGCACTGTTACATATTTTCATCCATCGAAGAAATAAAACATAATGGTTGTAGAAATAAAACACAATTAGTCAGCTATTCATTTCTACTGTGTATTCAAACCTCCTATATAAGATTTATTCTAAACTGGTATTTGTATTGTAAACCTTCATGTATTGGTTTGTTTCGTGACCCCAGTGTATATTCTATAGGGTTATTATTAACAAGGTCAACACACATATACACACACACATAAATGATGGGTCAAAACAGTTTGGTGCAACAACAAAAAATGTTAATATAAAGGCGAAATGAGAAATTTTCAGGTCATACAGTAATGCTAGTATTCCTAGTGTTCCTATTATATATGATCGATAAACAGATTTTATTCATGTGTATCTTTGCTGATAGTTTTGTATGAGACATTTTTAAGATATAGAATGGACATTATATTATTAGTGTATGTTTTGTTAAGTTAAAAATATTAATAAAACCCTGTTTTAATACCATACTGTAAGTTATAACATCTTCCTGTCTCACTTCAGTCAGCAGCTTATTGAAAACAAACGTTACTGACTTTGGTGGATTGATTGTCTCTAAACAAACAGGAAATCTCCTTAATAGGACGTTTGCTTGTCAGTACCGTTTGTTATCCTGAACTTGACCACGTAACAGTATTTTACAAATTTCGAGTAAAAACTACTGTCAACAGTATTTTAAACAACACAGTGGGGCTGAAACCTTCAAAAGGTTCGACAAGAAATGACACCGTATAATTGAACTTTAAACAACGATTTACATTAAAGGATGGAGTCGGCCGAATAAGTATATCATATACTACCAATAATCTTGTGAAACTGACACAAACATTGTTTAAACCTGATTAGCGGTTAGGACGCTCGCCGACCATGCACATCGTCCGGGGTTCGATCCACGGCCGACTCACTCCTTTACCTCGCTGAGCCAGAAATAATGTTGGTGAAGAGGAAAGGTTGGGCTTGAGGTTAGCAACCTCATCCTGTAAAATAAACACTGCTACAGAAACTTCAAGCCACTAGCTTGAAGCCCTATGTTCCACTGGGGAATGTGAAGAGAAAAAGAGATCATATATCGGCCCACAATGGCGTATTTTATATGACCAAGTCAGAGATTCAGTAAGCGTGAAGAATATAACCAGAAAAATATCGCTAGTGGTATAGGAAACTACAAAACAAGGATAGGAAAATTTGAAGGATGTAGCGATAGAATAGGTCACACTTACTAACCATATACTTCCGCAAACTTCTCTTTCCAAAATGTTCTCGAGTAACTGTCATGATAAAATTTCGAAGTGATTTCTCCGATTTAGAGATTGTTAGTGAAATCCGATGAGAACGAAGAACTAGAAATAAAATGATAGAATGGTTTGAATCTATATCATAAACTATCTGTGCGTCGGTGGCACAGTGGTTAGGACTCTCGCCGACCATGCATATGGTCCAAGGTTCGATCCCTTGCCGACGCACACCTGATATCTATGGTCGGCCTGCAAAATTTGGGCTACCGATATCACATGCTGAAAATTCCATACTTGTACCAAAAATACGGTCTGGAATCAAGCCGTAATAAAAAAAAAATGAAATTTTGAAACTCTGTAAAGATAATAACTGAAATGCCATTGAAAACTCTACATATAAAAATAACCCAAAGAACACCTCAATCAGGATATTCCTCCTGAATTTTTGTGGAATGCCTATGTCTTGCCTGCAACTAACAATCGATCTTAATCGCGTAATGTAAACTAATAACTTCATGCACTACGGAAACTAGTCATCAAATCCCTTAAGTTTTATGGACTCCAAAAAAATCTAACTACTGAAATAACTATGTTATTTTCTAATGTCTTGGAAACATTTCGTAAATCCCATATGACTTTATGGTCACAGTAGCACAAACCAGTATTCAAAATAAGGTGTAAGCATTTTTGAAGAATGCTCAAATTTCTACTAACTGTAAAATTCCATTAATTCTAGTTTACCAAAAGTAAGCAGAAAGTAATTTGCCTAACCGAATTTTCATTGATCAATAAATTTTCTTCTATTTTTATACAGGTCAAAAAGAGAACGATGGTTGGATGGTCTTTCAGCTGGTCGCCATGGTGTACCCGAAAAACTAGGCTCTGAAATTTGTGGTGAGCACTGTAATATTCTGATATTGGTTAACTGTTACACTATGAAACCCTCATATTGTCATGTAACAGTCGTTATGATGTTTTGGGTAAAATAAACTCCCATATAGTACTAGATTTGTTTTTAAAATGTGAGTTCGCAGTTTTGTTTAGCATAAGTAATTCAGGCATTCAGGTGGTAAACTCAAAACACGTTTCAGTGTCGAATATATCATCGTACAATAAAGTGAAATATATATACTTGGAAACTTAACCTTTCCGAATTTTTCATTTTGGCCTTCGAAGATAGTATTACAAATTACGTTTAGAATACAACTACTGATATACTAAATTTGAAAATTCAAACAAGGAGGGTATGCTTAATTCAATTTAGATTTTCTCGTCGATTGATGGAACTGAAGTGCTCTATCTCAGACTGACATATCGGCTCCTAGTGCAGATGTTTCGACGATGTCTGGTCATCCAACTTGAAGTCAGTTGGTGGATGGTGACCAACAGCGCAATCTAGGATGCGCATTTCGCTCTATTTCAGACTCGTCATCTGGATGTAGCTGCATTCTCCAGCGAGTGATGGTATTCCCATCGAGGCTAGAACCCAGTACCGATAATTTAAAATGCCAAAACATTATCTACTAGACCACTTGAAATAAATAATTAATAAGACCCGTGACACAAGAGGTGACTTTCATAGCCTAGTGGATAACGCTTTGGCGTCTCAGATTGTCGGCATTGGATTCGACCCTCAGTGGTAACAGCACCACTCACTGGGGAATATAAGTATGCCCATATGATGAGTCTCATATAGGACAAAATGCTAGCCACCATCCACCAAACAGGGTATATTTTTATTTCTCCAACTGAATATAAAATTTTTAAAGTTACTCCATTCCTTGACAGAGTAAACAAATATCAAAGTATTCTGTACGCATTAAGTACTGCATTTATTATGAAAATTAAAAGTAAAAATATTGTATTGTGACAAGTTGTCTGAAAATTGACGTGCACTGAAAATCACTTTAGCAGTTGTTATTGTTGTTGTTTTGTTTTTCATTTCTTCCTCTTCGCTATCGACCTGTTTATCTCAAATGACAAAAATAACGATAGGAGTTGGACGAGATTGTATTACTTAATTTTCTAGATTTCTTGTTAGCTTGATACAGCCGATAAAATTTAAAGTATGTGTACACTGTAAAATATAACCTACTTAAAAAGATAATATTAGTTAGTAAAGTACTGTAAAATAATGAAAAAAATGTGCTCAGAAGTCTTACTTGTATACTTTATACGTAGAAGCTTCAAGCTAATTCGTAAGGGAAGTTATGCAAGAAATACTAATAATGGATAGCTTGGTGATATGTGACTGACAGCGTCGGTGGTTCAGCAGTCGAATACTCTCCAAAGATGCACATGTTCCAGAGTTCAATTCTCAGCCGATATACAACTAAACTTCACTTAGTTGCTAGTAAGACGGGTACAAGTAGGAAGGTTGGGTATGAGACTAGCAACCCCAATACGGTTACCGAAACCTCAAAACTGAAGCTTGAAGCCCTATTGCTCTCTTCATAATGAAAAGCAATGAAAAAATAAATTGATAAGTTGTGCTATAAGGCAGTGTTCCTTCTTCTTGTTTACATGTATTAATAACTTTATTGGTTGTATATAACAGATTGAAAGCCACGTAAATCAGATGGCATATGCTACTAATAAGATTTATCAGTAGTATATAAAGAGATATTGGTCAGCATATAAAAACCAAACAGCAGGGAGATACATTTGATGTCAGAGAAATCAAATAATACAGCATTGTGGAGATACATGTGAGATGTGAATGGAACACAAAGAAACACAACAAAAAGGCCAGAAGTAGGACACCTCAAAAGATGTGTGCAAACAGCGCGTTGAAGATAAGGTGTACCTAATATAACCATACAGAGATATTCGCAAGGAATAGATTTGTTCTTCGAGTTTGACTACGGATTACTTTCAGCTAGAGAACCACGGGAAACCAGGAGGTACTGGACAGTTGTTTCATCCTAGTCTAGGAATCAACGGTAGTACGTACACAGTGTATATACAGATACCAAATTCCAAATAAACATTCCTTTACCAAGGCTTTCGTCTTCTACCGTCTCATTATCATCTTATTTTGTTCCAACCATTGTTATCGCTTTATTCAAATCCATAGACAGTAATGATGTATATGAAGTTTTCCAGCAGAGTCAAACAAATCTGTTCTCCCATTTGATCCTACCACAAAATCGAAGACTTACAAGCGAAAACCGACAAACTGGTCGAAGAAGCAGCAAAGACAAGACTCCAGGTGAACATAGACAAGACAGAGGTTATGAAAATAACCAGTTAACAACAACAACAGCAGCAACATCCAGCACTAATCACCATCAACGGGAGGGATTTGAAAGGGGTTACTTCATTCACTTATCTAGGGAGCATTGTCTCAACTACAGGAGGAACGGACGAGGATGTCAAATCGAGCGAGAATCGGGAAGGCGAGCGAGAAACACATTCATCAACCTGAAACAACCAATCTGGAAATCCTCGTCACTCAGCCGGCATCAACAACCAAATTCGGTCGGATTTTCAATATAAACGACGTCAAGTCAGTCGGTTCTTCTATACGGATCGGATCAGAAACTTGGCGGGCGGGTCACAAAGAATATTTCCAACAGCCTGTTGCAGACCTTTATCAACAACTGTCTTCGCTGGAACTATATTGAAGATCAGATGGCTGGAAAGAACCACCAACAAGAAACTATGGGAACAAACAAAACAAGAACCAATCGACCAACAAATATACAGGAGAAAATGGAGATGGCTTGGACACTCGCTGAGGAGGCCGCTGGGTGATATCGCGCGCGCGTCAGGCCATCGCTCGAGTGGAACCCGAAATGAAAGCGGTGAGTGGGACGTCAATGCAAGGGTGACATGGAGGAGATCGTGTGAAGAGGAGTTGAAACAGTATGGACTAACATGGTTGCAAGTGAAAAGTACAGCAGAAGACAGAAGCAAGTGGAGACGTTCAGTTGAAGCCCTATGTTCCACTAGGAACCCAAGGGAACAATAATAATAATACAATTTTATTTCACCTCAAACATCTTAGTGACACGAAGTCTGCCTATAAATATCCGTTGAAATAAATCTTAAGATTTCACTTGTCTTGAGTTTGCTAACTACAAAACAAAACATACCACATACAAGAGAATGCTTATATTATTTAGCCAGTGAAAACCTAAATACACCAAGCGGCATTAGTAGAATTTTACTGCTAATTACTCTTATATACCTTTTAAATTATGAATACAACAATGTAGAATCTGTCATTATTATCATCGATAGATAATCACATACATGATTAGACGAAAAATAAACTTAAAGTTAGGCTACGCCTAAATTGGTTAAGCATAAAAGTGTAAAGAATTCTTATGGATGATTGGTTGAAATAAAATGTCTAGTCATCTAATTTGAAATCCACACCCATTCAAAAAAGAAAGAACTGCTAAAAGTTTTAAATATTTTCAAAATATATACAGATTTGTCTGTATTGTGTGTAATTGTATTGTCAACAGGAAAAGCATTACAGTCGGTTTATGTTAAGTTTTATTGTTTTGATAAAATATTTAAAAAAGAAAAGAATTGAACACAGAAAGATATGCTTTGAAGTTTACCGAAGAATTGAAACCATTTAAGATAGAAAAAAGACACATCACTTTTTTCTTAAAAGAAAACATATGTGTGTATTTATGTATATTTTAATTTATGTATGAAGTGATTATGTAATGCATTCGTAGAAAAAGTGAGTCTAGATTTTAACATAAAAGTATGAACAGTATAACTGTCTCTGTCTTAATTTAGGTACAAAACTTGGATACCATTAGTAGAGTTTAATTCCATGTTAGTTTATTTAATGATGTAACCTACTGAATTAACCAATGTTAAGTTGATCTCGAAATCTGGGTCATATATTTCGTCTTTCCATTGTTCCTTAATTTTCTTTTTTTTTAGTTTTAACTAGTAATAGACATTTTTTTTATTGTCCGATATTATTATCGCAATATTCATGATTTCCCTCCCCCCTTGAATATCATGCATGTCTTGACTGCTTATAGTAAGTGAGGAAAATCTTTTAGCTTACTATACGATATGCGATAATATACTCTTGGAACGACAGCAGTATAACGTAACTGAATTAAGTAACTAACTTACGCTTCAAGTTTATGAAGTTTCAGTAGCAGTGGTATCATTCGTTTCTAAGGGTTAGGGTTGTTGGCCTCATGCACAACCTTCCCTCTTTAACAGGCAAACAAAGAAACAAGAAGATGCTTGCAATTTGCAGAGGCTTGCGCAATCCGAGTTTATAAACTAGGTTCTCTGTGTACAAAATGAGATGGTCGTCACTCCGAATCTATCATGGTAATAAGTTTTACTTATTATTCTATCTCTTATTATTATTATTCTTGATTCATTTAAAACTATCCTTTATCAGTAGGATTATCTTAACTCACTTCAACACTATTAATATTATAACTACTACTATTGATATTACTCCCTGGACTACATGACCTATCTAAATATGATTGGTCATTGGTATGTACTTTTGTTTTTATTTAACTGATATTACTCTGTTTGCAAATCTTGTTATATTCTCTAGTGACTTATTGCTTGTCTAAGGGATGTAATTGAAGCGTAATGCATTTTATATTAATTTTAATCTCTCACACTTCCTCTCCCCTTATTTATTTGAACATGACCTGAAAAACATTCGCACCTATCTTTCTGCATGACTAATTCAATGTAGTTTTTTTTTATTTATCAGTCTTATATCTCCCAATATATTTTCAAAAGTATATATATCCGTGTACATAGAGTATTCAGCTGATGAGTTCTACCGAAATTTGATGAATTCATTAAATCCTGCTTTATTAACCTTTCTTGCCTGTTTTAAATTCGTATCGAGAAATAAATGTTTTCAATAATTGATGAACAGAAATAAAGACTGCATGATTATCAAAGAGTATTATTTTTCGAGTTTGCCCACGGATTGATATCAGTTAGAGAACTATTGAAAACCAAGGAGTACCCAATGAGTGCTTACTGCCGATGATTCCTAAACTAGGATGAAACAGCAGCTGTCCAGTACTCCCTGCGTATTTTCAATGGTTCTCTAACGGATATCAATCCGTGGTCAAACTTGAAAACAAATCTAATCTTTACAAATCAACTCTTGAAAGTAATATTATAAGAATGATTGTCTTTGATGGCAAGTAATCCACAACGGGAAAATTACAGAAGCCTTCGAGGTGAGGATGGGAGTAAGGCAAGGCTGCCTACTATCGCCAATGATTTTCCTGACTACAGTAGATTGGATAATGCGACAAACAGCGGGCAATGAGGAAACGGGCATAAAGTGGACTCACACAAAAGACTTGGAGGATCTGGACTTCGCCGATGATATATGTCTGATTTACCACAAACTGGAAGATATGCAAGTGAAAAGCAACAAGTTGGCAGAAAAAGCATCACAGATAGGACACCATTCAAGTGAACATAGATAAAACAGAGGTGATGAAGATTCTTGGCCAACACCAACAGACAACAATCAACATAAATGTGAGGAATCTGAAAGAAATAACCTCCTTCACCTACCTACCTGGGAAGCATCGTTTCAACTACAGGCGGAACTGACGAGGATATCAAAGCAAGAATCGGAAAAGCAAGGCAACCTTTCATTACTCTCAAGTCTGTGTGGAGGTCAACAGCACTCACCATCAAAAATAAGATCCGGATTTTCAACTCCAATGTGAAGTCAGTGCTACTATATGGATCAGAGACTTGGTGCGTCATAAAGAGCGTCTCAAACAAACTACAGACCCTCATTAACAGTTGTCTTCGCTCACTACTTAAGATCAGATGGCCGGCCAGAAAAGATCAGCAACAGGGATCGCTGGCAATGAGCGAACCAACACAGCAGGAACCGATTGTGAAACAAATAGGCAGGAAGAAATGGAGATGGATTGGCCATACTCTGAAGAAACCATCAAGTGACATCACTAGACAAGCCATTACTCGAGTGGGACCCGAAAGGGTAGCGGAGACTTGGTCGTCCAAGGGTGACTTGGAGATCACATGAAGAGGAGATGAAAACACGTGGGCAGACTTGGAGCCAGGTGAAAACTCTAGCAGAGAACCGAACGCAATGGAATTAAAGGATATAATAATAATAATATAATAAATTGTCTTTGATGCCTAAGATATAATCTATCGGTTTTATAGCTTTTTCCAATTGTTGATTAAATGATTATCATTCTAACTTGTTAATTTTTTTTAAGTTTACACTTTACTTCAACTATCCCATTCGATATAAGTTAAATATTTATTTCTATACAAATTTAGAATGTCCTCAAGTGCTTATCACTAAACCTTATTCTGCTCTTGAATGCGATGAATTGGAGTTGAAAGAAGGAGATCAAGTTAATGTGCTTATCAGTCTATCAGATGGTATGTGCCTATTACCTATTCCTTACTTTAGTTAATTAAAATATTATTTTGGTGTATATTCATTCTGTCTCATAAAACACACACTTGAATCTAACTAACTGTGCATTTTGTTTTGTTGTTGTCGTTGTTTGAAGAAATGCGACAGAAATTCTATGGCATTTACAAGATATGAACATTAATTATTCTGCCTATTTTTTTTCATCTTAACAATACCTTTTATACACAAGCTACTACTACTACTATTGAATAATTCAGAATAGATTAAAATATGGCTATTAATGTCTATAAGTACAAAATGTTGTAGTACAGCGAGCGAGTATATTTCCTTTCTTCTTTTTAAGGTTGAGTAAATTTATGGGGATTATATATATACAATATATCTAACTGATAAATTAATACTGTTTCCTTTAAAGTAATAGGTATAATATTTCGTGCTGAAAAATGAAATTCCAAAAGGAAAACAGATGTCTGACTATTTTTTTGTCTTTTCTTTGCGTACTAAGCATTCCAAATAATTTTCTCTACTTTCCAAAAAAGTAAAAAGAAAACTATATTTTAAAACCCTAAGATCCATCGTTTTCTTCTACCGACAGACCTTAAGATCTTGGAAAAAAACCACCGAGGAAATGTGTAAATCCCTTCAGCTTAGTAGTGATTCAAAGTATGCAGGATACTTATGACACACAAACCATTCTTCTTCTGTACATACTTCTAGCCGTTGCGTCTGTCCTATACACAGGTACACACACACAAAGGCTGTTCCTAGGATAAAGGAAATACTTTTCTGAAACCTTGAGAAATCATTCGATTTACAATAACCTGTGAATAATTGTAAATGGATCAATCTGAATACAAAGCATAATAAATACTGACACAGTTCAGTTAACAAATTGATTATTCTAAGAATTCGCATCCTCGCATACATCATCAATATACATTATAAAGGTTTGTCTGAATGAATCATCATTAAAACATGTAACGAGACAATATAGCACTTCTTAAACCTTCGTTTTATTTACGTAAATATTAACTACATATATAAGTGAATATAACAGCTTAAAGGTGTAATTTTATTCTAATAAGTGCTCACCTACTCAACAGTCCTTGGTGTTATTCTTTGCATGCTTTCGAGGACTATCTATTTTATGCCTCACAGATTCTTATACACTCAAATACACGTGGATTTAAAATAAAGTCATATTTTCAAGTGTTGGATAGCAGGGTTTTGATTGCTTCCAAATCTGGTCACGAATTGACATCAGTTAGAGGAGAAGTGAAAACCCCGGAGTATCGGACAGTCGTTTCGTCCTAGTTTGAGCATTTCAATAACACGTATTCATGAACCCTGGAGCTGCAGGTTACAAGGCGAGCTCATTAACTAGTCAACCACTGGCATGGAATCCAATGGCCCACGAATTCTAGCTGCCTACGATTTGTGATCTTAACGCGACTACCAACCAAGGTTCTGTCTGTCTGTTTTCGACATAGAACTTTGCACAAATGTGCGGAAGTTCAAGTCGCCACACTTCGTGTAGCACGCGAAGCAAGAGAAGAAAGTACAAGAAGAGCATAATAGAAACAGTGAGCAGAGGTGTGAGACAAAGGAGTAATAAAGAAAAATAAAGCAGTTTCATTGGAGATCATAAGTCACAAGGAGTGGATGCATCTGCGCCACTGAGAACGATTTTGAGCCATGTCACCAATTGTTTCCAACCATAGATTTTTACCGTCCCGAGGACCCCAACCAGGAAGTCTACACCTTCCTACGTGGCTTAGACCAACTGTTGTGGATTTCATTGACTAGTGCCAAGTTTTTGTTTGACCGCCGCTAGCTTTTTCCAGCCTGACCCTATATCCGCTAACATTGCTCGTCGAGGGAGGCGATGGCTTGGCATACGTAACACATGACATAACCATCTCAGTCTTTGCAACTTCATGACTTCGTCAATTGATTTCCCCTCCTTACCTAGAACTCTACGCCTAACCTCAATGTTGCTCACCTTATTATGCCACTTTACACGGGAAACAGAGCGCAGGCACCTATGATCAAAGACAGCTAGTCTTTTCATGTCTTCCACTCTCAGTGGCCAGGTCTCACAACCATAAAGGAGGACGGAGCTGACTGATGAGCAGTACACCCGCCAACCAAGGTTACGTGTATCTGTCTTCATGCCAAACTTGGTAGACTCTGATGACAACGACTTCTTACTAGAACTTCATCTTGTAGTCAGTCATTAGTGAGTGTTTGACAAGAAAAGTCGCAAACTAGGACAAAACAGCTGTCCACCACTCCCTGGTTTCCAATGGTTTTTTAACTAAAGTCAGTTTGTGACCAAAGTTGACAGTTATACTTATTACTAAGATAAACCAATAATTAACGCAGTCCATAACTAAGAAAGTTACTTTTAGTTAATAAATAGTATCGATTAAAGCGTCTTTACAATAACTACAATAGTATAAAAGACTAGCAGATATGTTGTAATAGTAGTCAAAACAATCTCTCACAACATACCTTGTTATCTGTGAATGTAGATAGTCGGCTTCTTAACTTGTTGAATTCTAAGTTACCATTATCTCTGAGTTGCATAAGTTACCGAAACATTTGTTCAATTAACAAGTCTTGTTTCTCATCATTATTATGAAATTCATCTCCAACACATGTTGTAACAAGCAGTATTAAGAAAAGTCAAAGACAAAACATTGGAGAAAAAGCTTATCTTTATGGTTAATTTTCTTTTTTCTCTCGTAGACTTTCCTTCTCTAATTTTTCTACATTTATCTGTAGGTTAAGCCCTTACAAAAAAAAACCTCTAACCAACAAACATTCTTTTTTGCTGAAATTATTTTGTAGGTTGGCTTAAAGGAGCACTACCTGATGGTAGACGTGGTTGGTTCCCAAGTCATATTTGTGTTGAAGTCAAAGATTCATCAATGAAACGTGAAAATATGAAGAATTTCATGCTTATGGAAGAAGCTAAAGCAGCTTATTGGGTGCGAAAAAATCGTGAAACATTCGATGGCTTTCCTAGAGTGAAAGATGTAAGAAGAAGTCAGCGAGAAATGAAGACTAATAAACAAGGATAACTCAAAATTAACTATGATAAACCTTTATTGTTAAGGTATATACACGGTGAAGTGGTTATCGAGAATATATATATATACAGCAAACAAATGATATAAAGGCCATTGTTCTCTTTTCTGCATAATCTTTAACTTTCGTTTAAATGCTATACTAAATGAAATGACAAATCAATATGTCTCTTTGGAATATTCTAGTGAAATTCTATCCCTCTTTTAGATCCTTTTATTTTGCTGTCTTCAGTTGCAGATTATATTTCTACTACAAGCATATTTACTATTATACATGCTTGCTAGATGATCACTCAGACATATAATTATTACTTATAAATATATGATTATTTAAACTTGTACATTTCTATTGCTTTCGAATAAATTAGATGATTTGTAAAATCTTAGTTCTGATTCTTCTTTCAACTAAGTTATCATAAACAATAAGACTGTCAAATACATTGCCTCGTGATTTACAGTGAACTAATATTACCAAGTTGACTGTAACAAAGTAACTCAGAAGAAAACGAATTAATTAGTTTATCTAAGTGTAGATCTTGAGTAATGCGGTGATATATAACTCCATGTTAACTCGTTTATCTGACGTGATCCCAGATAAGATGATACCTAAGGCTCCTGTCGTAGCATTTGCCAACTTACGTCACCTCCAGCGCATAGACTTGAGTGCCGCGTAGCAGTTTGAACCATCATTCTCCATGGCCGTTGAAAGTGGAAGAAATGAGGAGGTTAACCACGTTTGATCATAGATGTCTGCGTCATATCGTAAGATATCATCATTAATACAGAGTTTAGGTGTAGTGCTAGGTAAGGGAGAAGGTCAATCGACGAGTTTGTGAATCTGCATCGATTGAGGCCGCTAGGACACGTGTTACGCATGCCAAGCCATCGGTGTTTTCCTTGGTCAGTGTTAGCTCACATAAGATTAGGTTGAGAAAGAGACAGGGGTGGTCACACCAAAACCTAATATCAATCCATAAAGTTTATGATTGCTGTTTTGTATCACATAAAGAATTATAGACTATCTGTCTGGGGTCTTCTGGACACTAAAAACTAATGAAAGCCTTTTGGTGATATCTGTCACTCATTGTGAAACCCAAGATCCGTTACATTTTCATTATTCACCATGAAACTGTTGTTTCTTCAGTTTTCTTCTACTGTTATGTGTGCTTTTGTGAAATGTGGTGACTTGAGCCATTGCACTTTTACGCAAAGTTTCAGGTTGGAAATTCATTCCAGTTCACCTAAATTTATACTCCTAATGAACTTGAAGCATTTAACAACAGCATATATGCAAATATCTAGGAAGAAAATAAAATATCACTCAACAGTCACTTGCAATGCCATGTTCAAACCTTGGAAGATAGAGCAGGATTCAAACCTGTCACCTATTGGCTGGAAGTCGACAGCTTAAATCAATGCGCCATAGCTCCACACAAAAATATCTATGTAGTAGTACTACTACTACTGAATTCAGACATATGATGAAATTTGAAGTCTAATAAAGAAATATTTAACCACGATTAGGAATCTTAAAGGTATTTCACATCCTTCCCAAACACACAGACTACACTCCTTTCTACTAAAAGTGAATGAGTAAAAAGATGAAAGTGAATTAATTCACTGAGGAAAAGAAATCATTGATTATAACCGGTGCTAAAAGCAATCAATCGAACCGGAGTACATGAGAATAATATGCACAATAAAGCTAGAAAACGAAAAACAAAAACTTTCATACAAAGTGAGTTTTGGAAAATATGAAGAATGGCTGCTTCAAGCAAAGAATAATGAAGGGAAAAGTGAGAATAAGCACACATACACACACACATAACATGATATTAAATATAAACAGCAGTAATGACACATATAAATAAAATCAAATACATAATGGCAATCATAATTATTATTATTATTTCAGTGACTAGTGTTTGTTGGTGAGAAATCAAAACCAAACAAAATGCATGTGGAACTTTTTTTCCACTTTGAAGAGAATAAGCGGGAAAAAAGCAGTACAACAAGACAAAGTACTCAAAATAAAATACAAACAATGCGAAGAATAATTGTCAAAGACTTCACTTAGACGAGAAACAAAATAAATTTTTAAATTGTAAATAATTGTGTTTTTTTTAATAAATGCAACAATAATAATAACAAATACAGAAACAGTCATGGGGATAAAACAAAATTAAGCAATGTGTCCTACAAATCAATCGAACTGATTTCGACAAAACTCGAGATAATAGAAAATTTCGGAACCAAAAGTGTAATTTTTTTAGAAAAAAAAACAGTCTAGATGATGAATGAGATCACATTCCCTGAACAGTGTATTTTTATTTAATCATCATAAAACATTATACTGCATTATCAGTTCGTAAAACAAATCGACCTGCTTCTAAGGGCTCTAATATCTCTTCAATGAGATAAATAAGCGGCAAGCGTCTTACAGTACACAGTAAAGACAGCTCACTTCCACGACGCAGTTGAAATATGGCACCATCAGCTAAACTACGCGATAAAGCTCGATCAGCTACAATACTCCAGATCTGTTGGCCACCTGGGTGCACATATTTCGGTAGTAAAGGAGACGAGTCTGAGTTATCTGGAACATTGTTCACTTGTTTAGCACTCTGTTGGTGCTTAGCTCTTTTTGCTGTTGCAATGGCTGTCGCTGCAGCAGCAGCATCTTGTTGTGGTGTAGCAGCTGATGGATTAAATCGTTCTAAGAAAGCATGCGGTGACAGACCATAGGCTAAACAAAGAGCTAAATGGTCAATGACCATATCCACAGGATGACGAGCTTGTTGACGTGTAACGCGCATATACTTTTGTAACGGTCGGATAAGTGTAGGAAAGACAGCTTGTGCAGCTTCATATGGATCCAAAGATTTTCCTGTAGAACAACTGAGCTTTGACATACGTCCATTGCCTATTAGTATACAGAGAATCATGAAAATTATTAGTAATGACTAATTATTCTTATAAAATTTTCGGACCAAGCATTAAACTATAAAATAATTGTAATAACAATGACTAAAACAATTTGAAATACCATCTTCTACGAAACAGTTGTGAATATTCTAACTGTGTTGAGTTTACTAACAGACAGACAGACTAACAGAAGCAATATCTAATAGACATTTTATTTAAAGGCTAAGTGATTCCAATTTACAGGCTGTAAGTGTTATGCAAGGTAAATTTACACGGTAGTTCTACTCATCACCCGAAGGAAACCCTTGTAGGAATTTTGCAAACGTACACTAAGCTATATGTTGCTTAGCGTAAAACTAATTGAAATCTTTTAGACCTATGCAGAAATAAAAGGCAATTAAGACGCAGAAAATAAACAAAGATAAATTGTTAAACTAACTATAGTATATGAATCTGCAAAACCCATTTTTGTTTCCTATAATTCATTTATATTTTCTTTTCCAGTAAACTTATAGAGGGGTAATCAGTAGCAGAATGTTGTTTCCTTGCAATAGTTATAAATATGGTTTTACAGACTCCATAAATAATTTTGTTGAAAAAATACTCTCGTTGTTAAATCGTTTTTCCTTCCCTATATGACTGCAGTGGGGAAGAATTACGCCAAATTAGAGGGAATAGGCAAGCTTCCCGTCAACCACATAGTAAACAAGAAAACCAGCTTTCTGAAAAGCTGTGGCGAAAAAAAACTACAGGAAAAACTGTTGAAAGACTCCTAAAGAATCACTTTCAGCTGAATCGTTATTCTTCAGAATGCTAAACGGTAGATATAAGTCACAGAATTAAACATAGACTAACTGAAATTGAATTTTATCCGCAAGTAGTCAAGCTCTGTTCAATTTACCGGAAGGTGATAGAAATTCAAAATAACAATCACTATTAATCTTCAGTTAAGCAGTAAACTAGATATACTCTTGTAGTTTCTAAAAACCCTGGGACAACATGTATTGAAGTACTCTAGTACTCTAGTGACTGTCTTCGACTTTAAGCTCTTTAGTATCTCACTAAATAATGACCAGAATGTGACTTCTCAGTAGTGTTCAAATTTGATTCAGTAGGCATACAGGGGTGTTATGATCACTCCTGACCTACATCTTTTTAGTCATCCGAACCTTTTATGGAGTACCGATGTTCATACTTATCAGAAATTAACAGCAGGTTAAAACGCCAAATCAGTTATCCGCCGCTTTAATTAGTTACAAGTAAATGCAACAGATAGGAAGGTGAAGCAGTACAGTCTCTCTTATACCTGTCAAACTCTATTAATTCTCTTCACTCATCTTCTTGTCTACCTTTGTGTGCTATTTGGAACGTGGAAACTCGAACTGCTGCACTTCGGTGTCAAGTTCTTTGTTGAATCCAGACAGAGAGATAGAAGCAGTACAGAACTTCGCACAAGAATGTATTAGTTTACGTTGTTATACTTCCAATAAAGCCATAAAAGAAAATAAAAATTTATCCGTGCTACGATGGGCAAGCATAAATCTGAGGAAAAAGACAATCAACAATAATGAAAACACCTTGAGGATAAAAACTATAATCAAGGGAGTCACCATGAAGGGTGAGTCATTTCAACAAGTTCTCAATCACTGATTATTAGGATCCTCAAAGCCAAAGCCAGTAACTCAGATTAACAGCAGAATGATTTTACCGATTGAATTCACGTTCTGATTTGACCAAAACTAACTGTTTGCTAACATAATCCTACACGAATTAACACTGCTCATTGAGGAAGAAGATGGGTTACTGTGCGTGACAGAGATCCCAGCGACTTTAACTGATGGAGCTCCATAACTTCATTGATTGATTTGCTTGCCTAGCACTCTAGGTCTGCTCTCAAAATTACCTGCCATATTATTGTGTCAAGGGTGAGCAATTCAACAAAAACAACTTTAGTCAAAGACCAATAATCTTTACAAGCCCTTCACTTCGAGTGGTTGTCTCATCTGTAAAGTAGGATGTAGTAAACTGGTGAGTACTACGTCCTTTAACGGCTACGCATATCCTAAGCGAGCATAGAAGATGATGCACTTTTACAAATCAAAACTGATTTGTGCATGTGAAATTAAAGGGTAGCTGCCTACCTTCTCAGACCTTTACGTAATACAAACTCAAGTGAAATGAATACTCTCGATAACAAAAATGTTTACTTTCATAGTATTTTCTAAACTCCTTCTTAAATAATTGCTGAATGATTTGAGGAAAAAATGGCAGTGACAGTAAAATAAGAGCACTTACTTCGAGAGTTTTTGAAAGGTACTAAAGTCTGATCACACTCCACGACTCCAACAACACTTCCTCTGTTATTGCAGTTTTCAGCAGCCAGCCGCTTTACGTGAGTAAAAGCTTCCTCGACTGCTAATAGTAATCTCATACGCCGTTTACGTATACGTTTTTCCAATTCAATTTCTTCGTACAGACGAACTGAAGCACTAGGAGCAGTAATAGCACCGGCAGATTGTTCAACAGTATATGTAACGCCATTTTCCGACTTAGTCAGACCTGCACCTCCACTATCTACGTCGTAAAATTTATACTTCGAGCCCCCACCATTTCCAGCGGAAGCAGAGCCACCACGGCGACTACGTTTGCCTCCACCACCACTGCTCACAGATGGATTTTGATTCGGGTTATATGCCTGTAGACATAAAATAGTGGTATGAAGTCATCAGATTACAAGAGTTACAGCATAAAACGAAAGTAAAACAAGTAGAGTAAACCATTAGTCATTGTTTAGTTTATTTTGTTTTATAATACACGAAGACCTATTATTATTCAATCACCAAACGTAAACTGAATTAAAATTGCCCCTTCGATGATAAGCTTAGAAATCAGAAACTAACTTACTGAGACGAAGGCAGTCAAATTAATCGTAGCTTTCTTGAAGACTGGCACTTTTAAACTCTATCTTATAAAAGTGTAGCTAGGAATAGTGTACAAGTATTGCTAGTATGCATGACAATATTTGAGGCCTGGGATGATTTTTTAAACTGATGAATGCAACATCAATCAAATGAAATAATATTTTATCTTATTTACTAATCTAATTGATGATTTCACTTACATCATTCGACCTCAGGACTGTATAAACCTGATAGTTTTATGCATTTCTCTTTACTATTCAAGAAAATCTCAGTCATGTACTAGATATTTTTAACTGTTCAGTCAGTTTTGCATAAGATTGTAATCACATGACAAACAAGTGATACCACAGTAGAGACTGGGACACAAATGAAACAAATTTATGCTGGTTTTATGTTTCAAAAGGCTGTTAAAAATTTCGACGCCTACAGCATTCGTAGGCGTTGACGCAAAACGAGAATCTTTTAAAATTTGACCCATATAACTATAATACATAAAACTGTTTGTCAAGAAATCACACTGTACAACTAGATGTAGCTGTACACTGTTTGATATTCTCTCAGTTAGCAAAATAAATTCTATGTACAAAGAGAAAGATTGAATCCTCTAGGATTCAGATTAATAACTGCATGCAACGATCAAAATTAATAACAATCGACTATATGCTCATCTTCCTTAGAGTTGCGAAGTAATCTAACCATAATAATTTGTCAAATGGCAAAGCTCACACTTGGAACTGTTTCAGTTATTCTGAACTTCAACAGCAACCAAGAACGTCAATGCTAATTTAATGATCTACAACATGAATGGTAAACTCGACTGCTCTTAACAAACCGTAACTACATATAGATGAATTCACAACAAAGTGAAAATCTTTACTCTTCATTGCATAGCTTCCTCATTTTTTTCGTCCAACTAAAAATATGTTGATTGCGAATGCCTTTTTCAACCGTTCTACAAATTACTGAGAGAAATTACCTGTTTGTTGAATAAAGCATATGCTATATAGGGTGTAAAATACTCATGACATAAATTTTGATAATACTGGCAAGCGAAAATCTCTCTTCTGAGTTATTTCCTTTCAAATCGAATGGCTTAAAAGAGTAGTTTATTTCCCGTGTACTATAAACCTAGTAACATAAAGGGTTAACTAGATAACTAGTGAATAAAATAATATTAAGGATAATTCAATGCATGCAAAATATGAACACGTACTGTGAATTCAAGCATATAGAACTGTAGAACTTCTACAGCCGCCCGCTGCAATGACATTTCGCCACATTTAAAAGTTTTTGACATTCCATCTGGAGAGCGTACAATGTGTATGACATAGTGGAACCGGATTTTTCTTAATTCCATAAGAGCAATAGCAGCATAATGCAAAAACAAAAGTGTATCAGTCAAACTGCTGGCGAAAACTACGATGGAAAGGTAATCAGATTCCTTTGGTTGTATAACTCGTACAGTATAAAATAACCAAAAAGCAAAAAGTACGACTAATACAAGACATAAGAAGAGAGTACGACAAAGACGGATACGAGGAAGTATAGCAGTCCCACTGCCACAGAATGGTTGACAAGGAGAGCTTAAAAACCATAAAGCAATAGAAAGAAGTACAAGTTTTACTGATATACTAATGAGATTTCCTTCACAAGTTGGTTGACAAGTATCAGTTGACCATCCAATCCAAAAGGGTAGAAATGGTAGCAAAAGCATTAGGATTGGAGACACTAATGAGGCAATCCCAAGAAATGCAGAAATAGCAAAACTTAGTGTATTTGAACACTTGAAAACCTTTATCTCATCCGCTTCAGAACGTATTAGTGCAGCTGCAGCTCCACTAATATTACAACCTGCACCCCCATTTGAATTAATACCTAGCGAAGTTGCAAGACCATATCGTGCTCCAAACCGGGAGAAGTTATCGCCACTTAATCCAGTCTCACTTGTAGCTCCAGTTACAGCTGTAGCTTCCTCGACCCAAGCACTTTCATCTTGATGGGTTAGCTGAGAATCAAAACGTTCAGATCGATATGGTTCAGGAATCTGAGTTGATGGCTGGGAAGGTATCTGGGAAGATGGAACATGAGATGGTGCAGTATGAGCTAAAGGATGCTGCTGCCCAGAGGGTATAAAGTGACTGACTTGTTGTTGCTGTTGTGGCTGAATTTGGCTTGATTGTACTCCTGCACAATTTGGAGGTCGGGGAAAAGTAGCGGGAATTGACTGAGGAATCATTTGCTGAGTGTAAACTTGAGGTACAGCTTGGGCTCCCCAACTTTGGGCATTAGGAACATACATGTTTGACTGGGAACAAGCAGAAAAATTAGGATTCATCGGCATTAAAGGAGGAATCCATGTTTCTAATGTATACGGATGAGGATTGTTTTGTTGTAAACCTATTGGCTGTTGCGGAAACATGTTCATGTGAGGCTGTTGCACAACTGGCATCAAAGTATTTTGAGAGGATGGGCGGATAGATGAATCTATAGGCTGCATATTCTGATCAACAACTAGCTGTTGGTTTTGTGAGGAAGAAGTTACACCTTTTAGCTGTTCCTGGAACATACACATAGACTGATTTGGTGGAACATTATTTGTTCTCTGGATGCGTTTTGATCGACGAGAACGGTCACTTTTTTCACTCCGTCCACTGCGTACACTTTCGCCATCCATAGATACACATTTAGCTAAATCTAAAAAGCAATAACAAAAGTACATTGTAACTACAAAAACTCTAGTGTTTTTAAATCTTTGAATAATTGTAAACGATTTACTTGGAATATTTCAAATTTGACTTACTAACTAACTATATACAACAAATAGACAAGCTATACTAAGAGTAAAATACTCAAAATAGTTATAGTAGGTACAGTAAGAGCTTGCCAAGTGAACGATAGAATCATTACTTCACATCTTAGCACGGAGAGTAAATTGTAATTAATACGATTATTTAATTACAATGACGAGATATTAGCGAATCAAGCTGAATTCAAAAAAAGACGAGAAGGAATAAGAATAATAATCACAACTGTCGCAAACAGAACTCTATAAACGTATTAGAGTGAAGACTTTGTGGGTTTAGACGAAGTTGAGGACTGGATACATTATTACTACTAGACATTTAATTACCATAAATACACTCCTAGTCGTCCAATTTGATTTTATTACTTTTCAACTAAATAACAGTTGTGTCTCAGTATCCCAATACCTCACCTTGAGCTAATGCGTCTACTTTCTCCACTTTTATTGACAACTGGTTTGCATCCCAAGCTTTTGTGCAGTGTGGCTTATAATTTAATACAAAAAACATACCTGATCACCGAATACACTAACTTACTAGTTATATTATTTCCTCACAGGAGCATATGTGTATAAAGCAAAGTTAACCCAGGATTTGGAAAAAGTAACCGTGTTACAAATAGCTTTTCGAGATAAATTGTGGCAAAAAGAATTATGTCGGCGAACTAAATTCGGTACTAGTCATCATGCCAAAAAATGTTCCACTCTGAGATTTTTAACTTAAAATGAGAATAAGAATTGCTTAGTGTTCTGCAGACTTAGATACTTGGTCAGTGTTGACGTCAATAAGACTGGCAATTAAAAGTCCAAAACTAAATATCAGAGCTTGGAAAACATGAAATAATTCTCATATCTTATTTATCGGGAATAAGTGGTGGTTAAAAAAGCTGCTGTTGGAAAAGACTAATGTTGTTTGCCACATGACTACAAATAAAAAAGTATCACTCAAGTTGACTAGACATTCTCAGAATATTGAAGGTCAGGAGTGCGATAATTAAATCCGTACATTTAGTATCACCTCTTAATTTGAGCCACGATTAATAAGATAGTAGGACCTATTGTATATCATATTACATCCATAACGGTCCCAAGAATAGAAATTTCATCAATGGATTGTCGTTCATCTCAGAAACCAGTCTGTTTTTTCAAGATTTGTTACTCGTAAGTTCCAGGAACTTTTTGGATGACGCAAGTGTCAGTTAGGATGTGGTTGTTAAAGAGACGTCTTTCCCTTTCTGTAAAACAATCCTGCCAAGGGTACCGCACACCGGTAAGCACCCCGGGTTAATCTGTAAGTTCTTATTTACTCCTGAACTCTATTTAGGTCCTGTTTTATCTTGATTCAGATTCGAGAGCTTCTTTAACATCAGAGAGCTGGAACACCAATATTCATATTTTACTTATTTAGTAACTGGAAGATAAGCATGTGTGGAAGTGAGCCAAACAGCTTACCAGTGACGTTTGCAGCATCACGAAATTAATCATTACACTTTTCCAGATGCAGAAAGCAATTTGAGACACCAGTCTTTGGGTAAGCAAGACATGCTTTCTAATTTCATTTGGTCTCAAAATTCAGAGCTCTAGTGAAAAATCAAAAGATAGGCTCCAAGCATAGGAATTTTATTACACTGAAACCAATTGTAAGCAGTGCTTATAAAGCGAGGATGAAGAAAGCACACGTCCCATTAATAGTGAAAATAGGAGGGAATAACAAAGATGGACAGAATAATTGATGACTGGTAGAGTATATCATCGCAAGCCTGTAAGAAACCTCCAAAGTTTCCATGAAATCTGAGTTTGACAGAGTATTGACTTTCAATAATTACGATAACCAATGAATCTTCGTCTAAAACCACTAATATAAAAAACGTATGGATGCGAAGGAACTGGATACGCGGGTAAAAACCCTTCAATAAATAACAGAAAACTATAGGAGAAGCTTACTGTCGTCAGGTATATTAGGAATAAGTCGACTGGGAATCGAAACACGACCTTCCGCATAGTTGGCGAACATTCTACTATAAAAACACTTACGTAAGGAGACAAAGTAGCAAGAGGTAAATATTCTCATGGTGGTCACATGATTGCAGAGTGCATAACTACACAACTAACGACGTCTTATCAGCAGCGAATCGACAAAGTTTGCGCAGGTTTCGTGCGAACTGTATTATTGAACTAGTCTTCAATTTACACCAACAAAATATCCCAGCTAGCATCTTCTCGGGCGCACTGCAGAACGTGGGACAATGACCCGAAGCCTGCCCCAAACATTCTGCAGTGCGCCCAAAGACAATGCTAGCCGGGATAGAGAGGTATTCATGAGCAACTGTTACAGTCATCTACACTTTGACTATTAAGTAAAAGGTTTGCATCCCATATCTAATTTAGCCTCTGATACCAAGTACTACATAGAACTATATAATATATATTATAGCAATGACTTCAGGTGCAGTGTAGGATTAGTGGGGCAGGCTTCGGGTCATTGTTCGACGTTCTGCAGTGCCCCGAAGAATGGGATGTTATATGTGCTTACACTACTAGTAGTGTAAGTTTGCAAGCTTACGACAATTCTAAACTTATTCTAACCTATTCTTCAATAATCCCTTTTTATGGTAAATGAAGATTTTATTTACCCATAATCTTCTGATATAACGCTGGTCGTGTTTAAAAAGAGAGCTGGGTGTTGAATTAAGTATTTTCGTTCTGAAGTTACGCTAGTCCGTGCTTGATATGTCCAGTTAGGGCTGAAATAACGCTGACAAGCAAAGCCAGTAGGTTCTAATCTACTCCTGAAAATGACTATAGGCATTTTCTGTAGAAAAAGAACATGGTGCTGAATTAGTCCCAATCGACTGGCAAATGATCATGTTAAAAACCTGCACTGAGTTCTAGTTTCTGCCACTGAAGAATCCATTTCACAACGGATTCAGAATTTGCCCACTACATAATGTTAGAATTATTTCAGAGTTAGAGAGATTTTATTCAGAATTATAATAAGCTTGGTGATAGTAGCGTTCTCTAGAGGAGTTCCTTATGCTTATTTCCTTTATAACTTAATGTATCTCAGACGATTAAGAAATGTTATTCGGTGAAACTGTTTGTACATAAAATATTCACAAAGCCTACAACCCTCACCTGCGGTTTCATCTAATTTCACCGGAATGACCTTCGAAAACCCTTTCTGTCGATGGATGTCCGCTACGCCTTCTCGAGGTCACTGGGTTCAACCGCCAATATTCCAATTGCAGGAACACGGTAACCATTTGATTTTTCAAAGCCAAATAATTATTACCTTTTTAGAAATCGTTTTATGTGTGATGCCTTTGGAGTCTCTATTAACAAAACTGTACAGTTTCTGATAGGTGTCAAAAATGGACACAATATGTGAATTTTGTTCAATTGACTTACTTAACGATGATGTATAAGTTTGGCGTTCAACTTCGAATATAGTTGCGCTCTCCGCCACTTACTCTTATCACTGGTTCCTACTGTCCTCTTGATCCACTAGTACCCGCACTATATCCTTTAGTATTTACAGGAACATCCCATGCTTATATTATTATTATATTATTATGCTCTTCCAAAGATTATTCTACAACCAGCAAACAAAGTCTGCTTTTGATCACACCCTCAGAAGTGGAACAGCCCTGAGGATGATACTGACAATGTGTCGTAGTGGGCCGTGACTGCATTTCATGTAACCATTAACTTTCATGTCTAGTTAACTGTATTTTTATAATAAACTGTTACAATATTCTTTCATTAACTTGGATTTTTAATCTGATAGTTTTTCTGTTACTGAGGTCTCAGTTAAGTCCTCTAAATGTCTTAAACCACTTAACTTCAATAGATTGCGTGGGATTTCGACCAAAATCTATGATGAGGTTCAAGTCCTTCAAGTCCTAACTCTGAGAAGCGCGCTCCTTGAATAAGGCGTGCTTTTTCCTCTCTAACCGGAAATATCCAATTTTGTGAATTATTCGTTTGGGAAACCTGATCTTCCTATCCGGCGAATTTTTATTCAACCATTTCTTCCTCACCGAGCCTGTGTGTGGTACTTCCCGCTGTCTCGAACTACTGCCAAAGCTTCAGGTGCTACTTCTGTAGCAACACCCTCCTCACTCTTTCAAATATACAGGACTTGTGGGTCTGTTACGTGATTGCTGTGAAACCGAATAACCCGAAAGTTACAGGTAAAGTCTAAAGCTTTTACTTAAATACTTTATCCTTCTTTTCTGTGCTCTCTATTGTCTTTTGCTGTAAGTCTATTGGACAAAATAACAGTCTCTTATTATTTAATCACCAGTATTAATTTAGGAGTAAAATGACAATAGATTCTCAACCTAAAATAAGTAATGGGACATCATACTCTGTAGTTACCAGGGCTTCAGCCAAACTAGGCAAACAGGAGAAGGTGATGGACTCACGCATACCGGTCCTGAAGACCAGGGCTAATATTCCCAGCTCGTACAGATTACCCATGTCGCCACAGTCCTACAGTGAAGCTGTGCAAAGTCAGCCAAGTGGATGTGGCTCCACCCCTGTTAACACGACTAGGTTAACAGATCCGAGTGGGAAAATTGCACTAAGTGAGAACTTCATAACACCCATCCCCATGGTAGACCATGAAACAAATAGGAAGGCCAAAAAGAAACGTTCACGACGTCGCAAGACGACAAGAACGCTCCCCAAGAAGACAGACGACTGCAAGGTCTGTGCTTCTGTTGTCGAACAAGCAGACTCTGCTTTCGAATGTAACTTTTGCAACCGATGGGTGCATTGCAGATGCGACAGTGGGGTACCAAAAGCATATTATGACTTTATGCGTAAAAACCCATGCCAATGGTTCTGGTACATATGCCCGAGTTGCCGTCCTGATGTAGCCTCGCGTAGTCCTTTGAAAACTAAAGATGGCACAGAAGTAGCGGGGAAAAAGGTGAAAAGCTCGACCCCCACCAATCCGGAAGTTAGTACAAACGCGCGTAAACCGGGGATACCAAAATCCTCACCGGTTAAACTTGTAACTCTTGCCATAACCGCTCCAGACACAGAGGCTGGAGAACCACGGGTTTCCGTCGTTGGAAAAAGACCCCAACCGTCTATCAGTAATGCTGGCTATAGCACTGAGACACATAAAAATACCCAGTCGCACCAGTCAAACCAAAACGGTCTTAAAGGTGATCACAAACGTGCGAGGACCGAGCCCAAGCCCACGGTTAGCAGATCAAATTGTGTAATCCTCTTTAATGTACCAGACTGTAGCAGTAGTCTGCTGAAAGATAGGGCCCTATTTGATCAGGAACAGTGGTCCATCTTGAGTAGCACACTGGGTTTGGACATCCAACCAGTAAATCTATGCAGATTGTATAGGGGCACTGCTGCACCTGAAGGCAAACCATCCCCACTGAGGGTAACATTGGGCTCTACCGAGGATGTTGAAAAAGTGTTACTGGCTTCTCAAGTCCTTTCTATAGGGAGGGCCTGTAACATACGTGTTAAGCCAGACAGGCCGTGGAAGGAAAGACAAATGGCGAGGGAGTCGCCAGAGCTCATTCCTTCTGCCTCCATGGTTGTGCATGGCATTCCCGAACTGGTAACTGGGAACGCCTGCGAAAAGCATTGTCATGATGTACAACAATGGAGATGGTTAGCATCCCAGATGGCCCTGGGAAGTTCAGGGGCTGTCTCTATTTATAGACTGCCTCGACCCACTCATCTTATGTCAATTAACTCGCCACGTCTGTTAGCTGTCAAGTTCAGCTCCCAAGACCAGTTGAATACCGCTCTCCATAGATGGTACGAGACCAAGGACAAGGTCAGCAAACACATTCGCTGCTGCGAGAGCCGGCCTCGCACTCAAAGGAGAGAACAAAGCGTAGTAAAAAAAATCCTCAACCCCTAGTCACACTACAGCGGTGCAGCACGGACGATGATAGCCAGTGTCATCCGAGTGCTCCAACTGAACTAGAAGAAAAAAACGCCAACAGGCCGGTTCCTGGGGAATCGGCCAACTAGTTCGTAGGATAACTCCTCAACCGATAGCCAATATCAAGTCAACTACCCCCCAATACGGGGAAGTGGTGAGACTGACTACCAGTTGCCTGTATAGTAATGTGAGAGGGCTAAGAGGCAAAATAGCTGAACTTAGACACCTACAATCACAACTAAACTCCAAAATCATAATACTGACGGAAACCTGGCTAACCCCTACGGTGGCAGACAGCGAAGTCAGTATAAATGATATGGTCCTAGTCAGGCGAGATAGGGACCTGAAAGAAGGAGGTGGAGTCGCCATATACGTCGACAAACAGCTCAGATGTGTTCACGCGACGGACCCTCCCCTCACAGAGCTCCCTGACTCCATATGGTGCCACTTCACCGTTGGGTACTGCAAATATCTAGTGGGCAGCATTTATCGATCACCTTCATGTGGAGCAGACCACAACCAGGTACTGCTAAATACAATCTCAGCAACTCAAGACATGGGTTATGATCAAATTGTCATAGCTGGTGACTTCAATGCCCCATCTCTTAACTTGGTGTCGGGAAAAGCCCATGATAGATTTGATCGAAATCTGCTGCATACCATCAGGAAGGCTGGATTCACTGAAAATGTCAAGATGGATACTAGATGGGGCCCTGATGGGAAGTCTTCTAGACTGGATTACGTGCTCACTAGTGACCAGCTACTAGTGGAAAACGTTCAGATCACGACTCCCATAGGTAGTAGTGACCACGCGGTCATAGTATTCGACATAGTCCTCCGCGAGCGCTTACAGTGGGACAATACACAGCCCTATCTGTGTTATAACAAAGCCAACTACACCAAAATGCGAAGACTTCTGTCTGAAGCAAACTGGCCTAAAAAATGGACAGAGCTAACAGTAGAAGAACACTGGAGAGTGGTAAAGGAGATCATTCACCAGGCGGTCTCAGACACTGTTCCTTTAGTCTCACCAAAAGCTAGGAAGCAACGATCATGGCTGAAAAGGGGGACACAACGCCTTCTGCAGGCAAAGCGAAAAGCCTGGTTCGCGTGGCGACGATCGAAGAGTCAACCCGAATATGAAGTGTACCTTGAACTCAGGAATCGATGTAACATACGAGTCCGGAGCGATAGAAGGACATTTCAGGGAGACCTCGCCAATAAGCTTCTCGTGAACCCCAAAAGCCTATACAGGTTTATGGCCGAAAGAAAACCGACCAACCAGGGAGCATGCAATCTAGTGGGTTCTGATGGGAAATCTCTTACTAGTCTTGAAATGGCAGAGACATTCAGCCTAGCCTTTCACAGGCAACTAAATAGTAACGAGGATATTACCCCTACAGAACATCCAGATTACATCGCAAAACCAACACACGAAAACCTGCTGGGGACATTTCAAATTACCCCGGCTATGGTACTTGCAAAATTGGGAAGGTTGGCTTCGGGAAAGTCTCCAGGTTGTGATGGCATCAGACCATCTGTCCTGAAGCAGTGTTCAGAAAGTCTCTGTCAACCCCTAAGTGAT